TTATAAAAGAACTTGCAAGAGCAGATACATCTTTCTTGCATCAGGAAGTTTGCTATCCTTACACTGTCTCTCCATTCAAGAGTCAAGCACATCAATATCAAATACCATTTTATTTCTGAACATGTTGAAAACAAAAAAGTCAGACTCAGCTATGTTAATACCAAGCACAATATTGCCAATTACTTTACCAAAGCTCTGGATACCATAAGCTTCATATGCCTGAGAGGGTATATGGGGTTGTGGGAGTAGAAGTTGAGGAGGAGTGTTGGCATCCTATTGTTCTTGAGACAATGGGTGTCAGATACACTAAGGACAAATGATTTACCTTGCTCATAGAAATTACATTGTCCATAAGGTGGCAAATGCCACTCAGTTGCAGTAGTATAAATACCTCATATATATCTAGAGCTATCTCAGTCAATTATGCTATAAGCCTCAGACTGAGGTACATATCTCTCTATTTCTTTGCATTTACATATACTTATTATTCTTGTAGATATATATTATCTAGGTACAAGAATAGAGTCAATTGTGCTATAAGCTCTAGACTGAGATATATATTATCTAAGAGTTGGTTTCTCAGACATAAAGGTGCAAGTAGGTGGTAGTAAAAGAGTGAGCTCAGAAGCTCAGAAAGCCATCAATTCTTGAGCATCACTATTTTTCTTCATCTTTATTGTGGTCATCTCTTTCTAAATAGAGTATACACGCCTCTATCTGTTCTTTCTCATCACAGCCAGTCTCTGTTTGTCTTCACAACCAAAGCATCAGACTCTAGATCCTGTCAGCTGCCTTTTTCAGGGTGTAGGCAGTACTAACACTATAAAGTCACAACTGAATATCCAAATCCTTATGTCTGTTTTCTTGGCTCAGGGACTTCATCAATTAATCTCCATACAGATGCATAAAGTATGTGGATCTAATGGCAGAAGAGAAACTAGTAAGACTGTGCTACAGTTTTCAGTCAATTAATTTGCAAAAGATGGACCAAATCCAATCACACTCTAATGACCATTTGTATGGTACAGTATACAGTTGTTCTATCACCATCAAGAGCTCTGACAGATGGCCATACAATATCATAATATGGCTAACATTTTTACTGACTCTTAATCTTATCTGGAGCCTGTTTCAGAGGAAATTTATCATGCAAAATAACCATGGGTACTTTTATCACTTTCATTCCTTTGCAGTTTGGCTACTTTTTATGATCTATCAATTTCTCATCTATGTTTAGGGCAACACTCTTTTCTTTGAATTTTAGACATCTCTAACCTCACATTAGTAGACAGCTGTAAAGTACCCATACCAACACTGACAAGACTCTCAAACTCAGCATATGGCATGATATATAGGTAGTTCTGTGACCATCTGTGATCATGGCTTTATAGCCATATACTGTGTATGGTATGGTGTACTGCTCTAGAAACTAGTACTGACTTCAGATCATTCTTAGCACTAAGGGAATCAGATGGAGATCAATTCCAGGTGAGTTGATTACCTTGTTAGATTTTTTTAGTGCTGAGATTGGTCAGCAACCTTTTTCCACTCCATATACCATATACCACTGAAAAAACACACAAATTTTTGTGATCTCAATAAATTTTTGCATCTTGACTTTGTTTTCTAGATGATTTCAGGATATTTCTGAACAGAAGAATATCACATTGTGGAAGAGCAGAAGATCAACCCTGAGTCTGTGACTTCATAGTACTTGGATGGCAAGTATACATATCTCATTTACTTGTGAATTTAGATGAGAAAAATGTGGATATATTTATGTTCTCTCTGCAGAGCATGAATGAGATTTACTTTGATGGATTATTCTATCTCAAATTATTAGGCAATATCACCTTCTGACATACCTGTGAGTTTCTTATTTTCTTGAAACCTAAGTGGTGATGATCATATGGTCCAATATTCATGTATGCAGCAGACCTTACACATGCTCTTATCAAGGAGTGTGAAAGCTCATGCTTTGATGCACCCATGTGCATGTTTCATATTTGAATAAGCAAAGAGCACAGCAGATGATGCAAGAAAATGTAGTGATTCTATTGTAGACATAGTCCTTCTCATATGTCTGATGATAGTCGGTTTAGGCAATGGGCCAACTGTCTGCCTGAAATCTGGTATCCATCCTTCAAGCATCATCTTAAATAGTCCCACGTGATAGTTCGCGACGAAGCCGCACATACTTTTTTCGTCCTTGCGAGGTATTTGGCAAGTTCTTGATTGCCTGCAAAAGCTTTCTTCTCTGCTCCTCCACATCAATATGCCACTCTTCTCCGCACTGTGTCTGGTCTGTTAGAAAATCGTAGAGAGACTGATGAATAACCTGAAGCTGCCCCTGGGGTGAAACATGTACAACACTCCTCAACTTTGCTAACACCACCTCTGCCGAAGGATCTCCGGGCAAGAAAACCAAATCGTCCAGCATCCGAATGGTGACTTGACCAGGCACAACTATAAGAGCCCCTAGCACACCACGAATGCAACATCTGATGTCCTTATCCTTCTCAAGTTTACCTGAAACCATGACGCGAAGAGTTGTCCGATACAAAGCTGTTAAGGTATCAAATGCGATCTGGGAGGTTTTGGCGTTCAAGAGTTCTCGAAGTCGAGATTCACAGGGAAATTCAGCCAGGAAACTGCAAACAGTGACAGCCCAGATAAACAAGCCGTTCGCTCTTTCACTAAGCTTTTCCACAGCACTTTGTGATTCGCATACGTTCTGGAATGCCCCAGCATCGTTGTTAAGCAGCTGATCCTTGTATATAACGTTAAGTTGGACGTCAACGTATAGCCGTATATCTCGAATCACGTCCTCTGACGAGGTGTCCAAAGTAATCAGGGTCATAGTCTTTTGTGTCTGAAATACTCGAGTGATGCTTTCGATAGGCCGGCTCGATACAATGAGCCGCATAAAGGGCAGCATGGACCCAAAGCCCTCCGCTAGGATTCCAAGCATATCTCTCGAAATCTCCGAACATTCATCCAAGGCATCTATGATAACCACCACGGGATGCTCCTTCGACAAATTGGGGACAGATATCAATGGCTCCTGAAGAAGGACTCGGAACTGATCTCGTATAGACGATGATGGGACCGCCTCTGAAACCCAACGGAACCTTTGAACAGCATGGGAAATAGCGCTTGCGACATCATCATCAAACATACAAAGCGAGTATGCGATGGTAGTTATGAGTTTGGATGAATTTGAGAATTCTTTTCGATCACAGCGAATGAAGGCACCGAGGCGGCTGCGACTTCCAGAGCGGATCACAAGCTGCTCGTATAAGGTACCCATAAGGGAACTCTTGCCCGTTCCAGCCATGCCTTTGCACCAGAGTGTGCCCCCATCACATCTCTCGATCCAAGTCATTACTTCGTCGATGACTCGTAGACGCGTGCCTTGTAAGCATGTCGACTTCGGACCAAGTTTTATGGCCATAGGCGGTCGCAACATGCGAAGAGTTGTCTTGATTTCTGAAGTTGTCATCAGTTTCTAATTCCAAGCAATATTAAGCATCACCTACGCTGATGTTTATGTCCAGCCAATTCGGCTACGAAGGCTTCCTTTGAGATTTCTAGATGGAGTTTCTTGATAAGGTCGTCGAATTTCTGCTGTATTCTTTTGATGTCGCCTGATAGATTTCTATTGATTATCCGCCCTGGATAATGTATAGGGTCAAACAAGTAGAGAGAAGGAGACCCAGATATACCTGTGAAACTTTTCTTGGCATAGCTCTCAATGAACTTAGCGCATTGAATTGTCTGCTCAAAGAGCGCATTGTAGATTGGGCGGAGATTGTTGATATGGAGCAGGACTTCATTGTTACTGGCCTGTTCATAAGCCTGTAGCATAATCGCATGGAGATCGACAACGAGCTGGTCCATATCAATCTGATATCTCAATATCTACGAAATATATTAGCCTTCACAGAAGGAATATTACGACACCAGATCATCACAGAACGAAACTGACATCAATCCCCATAGAAATGATACTCCAAGCCACCTTTGCGGCAGGGTGAGCCTAGTTTCCGGAGGGATGGATTTTAGTGATATCATAATTTTATTAAAGTCTTTTGCACGCACCTCCGTTAGTATGTCTATCATCCTTTTGACAGCCCCCACACCATTAAGAAGAGCGCTATGTCTACTAACACGCTCTTTGGGCCTCTTAAAGTCTTTAACAACAAACTTCGCGACCTTTTCTTGATCCGACGAGTAAGCTATTTTTAGCGACACTGTCGGCATTGGGCGCACTGAGGTCGGACCGAAGAGCAAGAGCGGTTCATCTACAAACATGTGGTGTCAACGTTTGCGCCCGGATATCAGATTCATTGATCACGAACATACCGTCTCTGTTCTCATCGAATATCTCGGTAATTGGTATCTCTGCGCTACCAAGAAGCCTATGGAACAGCAGCGGAAATTTACGAGGAGTGTAGAGCTTCAAGACAACCATTGTCGATGGACTGAGTGGACCTCTGCACATGAAACGATATCAGACGAGTACTCCTGTTTTTCACCTCCACGTACAGCGGCATCCTGGGGGACCAGCTTGCTTTTGACTCCGAAGGGGGGGAGAGACATCTAACAGTGTCGGTCTTATAGACGAATTTATCACTGGTTGTGAGCATCAAGTAAACGCGGGTAACATCCGTGAACAAGATCCATTGCAGTTCCACATCTGTTTATGAGAGACAATGAGCGAAATAGATATCCACTATAATTAGGGACGCGCCTTCGATGACATGAAACTTGTCACTGTCACTGACTAGCATTAGATACGGAAATGTCGATTGAAAAAAAGGTAGAAAGAACACCTCTCGTCGTAAGGCATGAGATTCGATATTCAATGGTTGTCGTCCTGGGGCAACAAGACTTCCCACCTTCCCAACATGCGGTGACCGTCCGAGTTGAACACACTCTTGATGACATAAATAGAAGTGATGGCAGAACACTGACCACGCTGATTCCGGCTAAGTGATATCATAAGATCTTTGATATGACCGGTGACCGAGAGGTCTTCGTTTATTGTCCTATCGCAGCTACCTTGACCTAAGCGTCTATGCCATTTCTGGCCCAATAGATATATCAACTGTCTGCGCAACAAGAATCAACGAGAGTAACTACTAACTAACCGCATTCAAAAAACTCCTTTATCCAATGAACGCACAATACCGGCGACATCAGAGAGATGGAACAGGTTTATTGGTCACATGCACGCACCAAAGAGCAGGAGTATATGCTTCATGTGGTAGTTAACCCTAATAACAGGACAAACGTTCATCAAAGACCTTTTTCCGCTCCTCCACGTCGATATACCATTCTTCACCACATCGGTCCCGGTCCCGTAGGAAGTCATAAAAAGACATATCGAAAAACCTGGCAAAGCCATCCAACGACACTTGAACGACAGCACCCAGATCCGCCAGGATAAGGTATGCTGGCGGGTCACCGGGCACAAGTACGAGATCGTCAAGAATTTCAGCAGTCATCCCTTCAGATCTTCTCGGAATCATGATGGCGCCTAACACTGTGCAGATACAGCGCCTGATGACGTCCTTGTCTTCATCAGCTTCTGCCACAATCAAAGACAGTATAGCTTTGTAGAGATTCGCGATGGAATCTGTACAATCGGTGAGGATTTCCAGACCCAGGAGCGTTTGAAGTCTAGTTATAGTTGGAAATTCGCGTATGAATCTGCACGCAGTTACTGCCCAGACGAAAGAGCCGTTTGCCCGTTTACTAAGCCCTTCAACTGCAATCAGCGCTTCGCACATCCTCTGCAAGGTATCCGGTGCATGGCGCGCTTCCTGATCAGCGAATATGGAAGAGAGCTGATGATCGATGTAATATCGAATGTCACGACGAGTCGCCTCCGACGACGTGTCCAATGTGATCGGTGTTATACCGGAGTGGGAAAATGCCCAGACTATGCTTTCTAGAGGACGGCTCGCAATGACCATTCGCATGAAAGGAAGTCTTGATCCAAATCCATTTGCGAGAACAGCGAGCAGTTCGTCTGACGGGTTACATTCATCCAATCCATCGATGATAACAACCAGTGGCCCTTCATCAGCCAAGACCGGTACACTCCGCAACGGCTGCTCGATCAGCAGTTCGAACCGCTCCTTCTCGGAAGACGCGAGGGATGGGCTGCCGTGGGCAACTAGCGAAATGGCCATACCGATGCGGTTATCAGACATGCCAAGTAAGTAAGCAATGGTGGTAATCAGTTTCGACGAGTCTGGAGATTCCATGCGATCGTAGCGAATGAAGGCACCAAGGCGCTTCCGCCCGCTCGCATTAATAGCAAGCTCACGCAAGGTACCCATCAGCGAACTCTTTCCTGACCCAGATACGCCATTAACCCATAAGACGCCGCCGCTGCACTCTGCAATCCAAGACATGAGAGCATTGATGGTCTGCCCACGCGTCCCTCGCAAGCATGTCGACTTGGGACCGAGCTGAGGGAATACTCGAAGATGATCAAGCTGCCCCCGCATGACTGAACCATGTAAACCATGTAAATGAATGATCCGCTTCTAGGATCAGCCAAATCACATACCTAGTCGGTTAATCGGCACTTGCACGCCCAGGGTGACGACCTCAACTTCCTTTGTAATGGTAGATTGGAACAGATTATCCATGGCCATGAATCCTTCTCGAAATTTCACTGCCTTGTCCAAAAGCTGAGCACTCAAGGGATGCTCTAAAGAGATAATTACATTAAAAGTTCAGATAACAGTTTTATTATACGCACCCACAGTAATTTTCCTCGCGTAGCCCTCGATGAAAAGGGTGCATTCAATTGTTTGCCTGATGAGGGCTTGACGACAAGAACGTATGACTTCGGCATTCTCTTTCTCTTCCGCACGGCTCGCTGAAACATACGCAGAAAACATGGCTTTATAGAGATCGACGACGACTTTGTTCGACTCCTTGTTCTTCCTCAATATCTGCATCGACTTAGAACACTCCGAATGCTCTTCACGAGGAATGACTTACGTCGATTCCCTTTGACAAGAAACACCAGGCGATGTCGGCGACAAAATCGACCTGGTTAATGTCAGCTCTCAGCAATACAAAGTCACCGGTCATTCATCGTACGTACCTCTCGAAGATCTTTCATCATGGTTTTAACCGAGACTACGCGGATGTCGTCAGAGTAGGATATCCTGAAGGATGCTATAGTCGGTGATGTGGAGCTATCGTGGAAAATTGGAAAGGTTTTATCTGAAGATCAGAAGAGTCAGTCACATAATGATCGTGTTGAAAACGAACTCACAATCGTTCTCTTCTTCGAAAAAGTCTGAAATCGTCTTCTCAGTAGACCCTAACACCTCGAGCCAAAACGGGTGACGCCTATAAAGTATCAGCTTAACCTCCGTTGACGTGTCTATATTGTCCCTGGTGTAGGATTAATATGATGGCATCGCTCCTCTTAATGTACAGACTCACAAGCTAAGATTGACCAACCACCTCGGGGTAGCATCGGGGCTAACGCTGATCGTAGGATAAGACCGGACAACGCCGCCAACGACGACTTTCAGGGTCAGTCTCAAAACCTTTGTCGAAGGTCCAAGGTCGTGTACTTCGATATCTGTAGCAGTTCTAGAAACCATGACTGCCTGTACATTTAGGAAGACCAACCTTTTATAAAGCGCGGTTCAAAACTATGTCGTGTAAGAAACGGTACAAATACTTCGGCGGATGGACTCACGATATGTCTTCCACCATGGTGACTGATCGTCCGATACTGAAGAGGATGGATCGGCAACACGCGGTCAACCCGAAGCACTGTGCACGTGAGCTACCTGCGAGAGAATTCCTTCACGGGCTGCCGTGTTCGGCAAAAATTATGTAGCTAGTCAAGGTCTTAATGTGGTCGTAGAATCGTGGGTGCAGTATTGGGCCTTTAAACTTGACGGATTTTCGGTGGCGGTAGCGAGACACACTGTTGGTTCGGGGACTGTAGGCATCTTTGCGGCTTCGATGACGCTGCCTGTAAGGAAATATTAGCACAAATCTACGACAGGAAAGAAACAAGGCTGACGCACCATTTCCGGTATCGTAGACTGGCGACCGCCCAAGAATCGTGGATGACATAGAAGTTTTGAAGATGCACAACGGCGCTCATACTGAAGAATCGAGTTGTCTGCACGTCGGACTGATGAGAGAAATGTTATAAGCCGTGAGGATATGCGTTAGGATGACGGACGTACAATGTTCGGGGTGAGGACACCACATTGACGAACCCGACCAGCTCTCTGGTGTTCTTTTTTTTGCTTTTTTCCTTTTTTTGGAGGGGGGGAAGCAGATACCATTCGCAACTGACCAAGTCAGCCCGTTATAGTGCTCAGAGATACGGGAATCTGAGCCGTTCAGAGACCACTACCAAGAAAATGCTTTTACGCACGGTTCCAAACCAATGTAGGACACGGGTCGGGTCATCGCAAACGTCCACGTAGACAATTCCTCACCAACTCCTCCCTGGAATTCTTCTCCACTGTCCAGCCGTAATTTTGTCTTCCAAGAGTTGAGCGTAACTTCAGGAATGATAGCAACGGTGCCTGAATGATAATGCAAATGGGATACTGGTTAGTTCTCTTGAGCAGAAGAATCGACTTTGAACATACTGCTAAATGAGCATGACCGTTCATGGCACATACAATTGCTTGCCTGCCTCTACCTCAGGACGGCATTTCTGAGTAAAAGGTCTGCCATCATCAAGGGAAACAGCAAGTATAGTGCACCAGCATCCTTCAGAAGTCATCCTAGGCTATCCAAGAAGACAGCGTACAACCGTATCCACGAAAATTAAACTCGAACGTGAATTCGTCGTTCGGCGAATAGTCGGACGCGCTGTGACAAAGGTCGAGCCAGTGGCCCCAAAAGATTCATGCTACGCGTAAAACGTCTGTGGTAATTCGAATGTGGTCGAACAGGTAAGAACAGCGCGTAAAGGTGGCGGTAGGTGGCGGTGTGGTGGTAAGGAGGAGAGCCCAGAAACTTGCCATTTCGGGACGCCATCAATTCTTGTTTCAAACTCCCATGTTGGACAGCACGCCGTTCCCTTGAGCATCGCTATCTTTTGTTATTTTTGTTGCTATCCTCTACTGCATGTATGCGCCTTTGTTCAGTGCTTCTTCGACTCACAGCCGGCCACTGTTTTCTTCCAACCAAAGCAATCAAGCGTGTCAGCCGCCTTCGCGCTGGCGATCATGATGGAAAATTGACAGTGTGGGCCCTGATGATGAACTGCAGTTATCCCAGTTCTTGTGCGTCGCTTCTCTTGACACAAAGACCTTTTCTAATTTCCTTATAGATGACCATTTGCACAGCAGAAGCCATTCCTTTATCACCTCCTGACTCCAGATCGCCTACATCAATAATGGGGACAACCGTTCCATCTTTGAGGAAGAGAAACCGTGATGATTGTACCGGCGGAGGATCTGGAGCCATGAAACACTGTTAAATGCGAACTGGTGTGTCGTGTGTATGCATAGTGAAGCTTTGATCCGGTCCTCTTCTTCCTTCCCAGTTCTCAAGAACAAATAGCCCGCTTCGGAAGGTACATCCCAGACTCTTCTCTTTAAGTTCGCATCTGACTATAACGTATACAGGCACTGACTGCCCTGCAAGGTGCCAAAATTAGTCACGACTCCAGTCTTGCAATACTTTTCTGTGTTTCAGACTTGGGGTGTTTTCAATCTTATCTTCAGACTTCCTATCAACGATTGCAGCCGTTTTCTTAGTGTTTTCGAAGAAATGATGTCGTGGTGTTATACAAGATGTGAGATATGCATTCGTCTGTTCGGTTCATCCAGATCATCTTTACTTATTCATTCTGCCGATTTATCAGAGAGGCTCGCATTCCTTATATTTGTCGTACATTTATTACATCTGTTTGTTAGCCGAACAAGCCAACGCACCAATATTGAACCGGTGAACAGGCCTTACCCGTACATGCAAAAGTTGCGCTGATGCTCGAAGATTCTACATTACCCACTTAGCTACAATTATGGAACAGTAGTAGAACTTACTAGAATACCTGTAGAGGTATATAAGTTCTGTAGTCGTACCTCTAATAACAAGTTCTTCATCCCTCCATTCCCCTACTGCTGCCAGTACTGTTGTTACATTGAAAGCACAGGGCTGGAATCAAAAAGTGTGAAAGATTATGAAAGCAAGAACAAATTGGAGAATGCAATAATTAGATGATCTCTTTCAGAAGAGTCAGTAACTGACAAATAATGAGAAATGTCAGAGAAATAAGATGGTCCAGAATGATGCTGCATACATGTATGACAGGAAGCTGTACCCAGAGGAACCCACTCCACCCTGAGAACTGCATGAAGATTGACCTCAAGGATACACCAAGCCACCTGGCTGAGGTACCCCCCTGTCTAATGCAATAAATTCAACATAATCCTTTGGGTATTTTGAACTACACTTACTAAGAATACCCTTGTGATGCTGTGTAGTAGCTCAAAGTTGAGCCACCTGATGACAAAGAAGATGACAAAGGAGAATATGATGAGACTGGTGGATAAGAACTACACAAATTTAGATGCTAAGCAGGAAAATGGTATTCATATTTACCTTCCTTGAGATATAACAGCAGCACTGTAGCATCCTGTATTCATATTCACTGATGAGTGAAAGTGTTGCCCCTGGATCTGAGTCAGATGTGTTTTCCAGGACTGGTATGGATAGGTCAAACTTGAGCCAGTGACCCATGCCCCTGCAAGGAATGCCTGGATTGACTGATGACCCAGTTAATAAATAAGCACTTGTGAATATATTAAAATGTTCACTCAATTACATCCTCTGAGAGAATATATATGATTGTCAGGACATAGGAAGTCTAGGAAAGTGACATGCATTCATAGGATCTAATAGTATACACTCTTAGCTATCTTGTAGACCCCACACAGTGTAGCAATAAGCAGAAATGCAGTGTATAAATCACAGTATCTAATAGTATACACTGTTAGTTATCTTGTAGATTATAGGTACCAATCAGTAAGGTAAATGTAGCAGCATAGGTAAATACTCACCCTCACACATCAGAGCAATAAGTGGAAACATGGTGAAGGTGCTTGACAGTCCATATTCAGTATATAATGTCCATCCCAACATAAAGAGGTATTGAGCTCAGCTTGTGGGATATAATGGAGCCCCTGCTTGTTAATCCAACACTCTGCCTCAAGCAGCATTGTTGTGGGTGTAATAACTGCTCTCATAGGTTTAACAACTGTTTACTATCTCATCACCACCATCACACTCTCATTGGACCTCAATTCCATGTGCCATTCTACTCAAGCCTGGAGCTTCTATAGGCTGTATTCCTTTTCCATTTCATTGTTACCAGTGGAAGGAACTCCTGATATAACTATGCCTTATCCTGGGAACTTTCTCTCATACAGTCTATATGGAAATGTGTACCAGTACAGTGATGCTCATGAAATCTTAAATAGACTGATGAAGCTCACCATCTTGTTATTGCCAACAGACACTAGGCTATTCAGCTTACCCAGAGGTGAAGAGACCAGCCTAACATCCATTGCTCAAGGTATCATTTATACTATCAGTTTTGCCATGACCACATCCTGGCCCAGAACTTCTGCAATTGATGAAGATACAAACATTCTCATTATATAGTTGATATATTATCCACTAACTAATCTCATCAGTCATCCTGAAGCATTTCATTTTCCAATGACCTTGCTCAAAGCAGCATGTGATACAGTGCAAATGTCTGCTATCAATAAATGCACTATATTCCCTTCATTGGCTGCAGCAGCAATCAACACCACTCATTGCATAACTGTTCAGCTCAAAACAGTGAGGCTGATCAGAGACAAGCAGCTGCTTAGACTGTTCAATGCAATAGAGGCATTCATAGTGTCTTCAGACCTTCAGCCATCTGAAAGTCAGGATATCTTAGAGCTTTGGGCTTCTGCTCTGCTCTGATACTGTGGCAAATCTGTTTGGAAGATCTGGAAGGATCACCTGCAGATGCAGGAATCTATAAGAGCACTTTTAGCTGCAAGTGATGACCTTGCACTCAATATTTATGAGCCTGAGGATCATGCCAATCTCCTTGTATTGTATATGCTGTACAGCTGTTCAGATGTGCATTCTCTTTCTAGATATCCAATTACAAAGCTCAAAATATTCACAGAAAAAGTATGTGGTGTATCATCATGTCACTTTACTTGCTGACATTCCTACTAATGACTGTTACACTCCTGCTGGTGCTCAGTGGTGGCAGAAGAGATTGATACCATCAGAAATCAGTTCTGTGGAGCATGCCTTGGTTGACAGACTGCTCACCCCAATGGCATTGTCACCATCAGATGCAAACTACTTTGACATGCTATGCATACTTCTTTTGGTTCACATGACAGACAAGGAAACTCTCAACAAGATTGGACTTCTCATTGAGACTCAAATTAATGAATGTCTCTCTTCAAGCACATCTTCTAGCAACCAAGATATCATTTATGGAGACATCCATTCCTGGTCACAAACTCTCATTCACATTTTAACAAATCCTGAGGCAGCCAATTTGCAGTTAGCACTGGATACATCTATCCTTGCAATTGAGTATATCTTTTCTCTGCTGATTATAGTTTTTAGGACTCAGGGTTCTTTCTAATTTGATTTGCTATATGAATGAAATTATAATTCAGACAAGAGCTTAATAAAGGTATTCATATCTTTATCTGCCATCACACTAGAATTGGGTTACCAGACTTTCTTCAGTGATGATGACATAAAGGAGCTTATGACTCTGATGACATAATTCCTTGAGGATCATTATGATACTGATGTGGCATGAGAGGCATTGCAACAGTGAAGGGATATTGTAGACTGGTTACCTCAGGATGTTATCCAAGCTTATGGAAGACCATATGCCTTGTTAATGTTGCAGGCAGGTTATTAGCATGCAGTGAATAATGGTCAGGCTAAGTACAATAGTCAATTGCTTAAAGGGAGTTGACCATCAACTCAGGACAAAACTGTCTATGCTTATATAAGGTTGATATCAGATACTTGTGTCATCCTGCAACACTCCCCCTTGACACAATACTTCTCAGAGTTCAAAATCCAACAGCCTGATTATGTGAATCATCTTCTCCTTTCCCAAGTCTTTTGTGAAGATGTCAGCAGGCATGTCTTCTGTGCAAAGATGTTCAATATGTATGTGCCCCTGCTCAATCTTGTCTCATAACCAGTAGAAGCAGAGGTCAAGATGTTTGACATGACCATGATGGTCAGAGTTGCAAGTGACAGAGATAGCAGACTGGTTGTCAATCAGCAGTGGGGATGGCAACAGATGATGGAAACCAAATTCTGTGAACAGATTTCACAGCCACAGAATTTCCTGTCCAGCAGAGATGGCAGCCACATATTCAGCCTCTATGGTCAATAAGGTTACTATAGATTGTAGCTGGCTCATCCAGCTGACTGTACCTGTGCCCATCTTGACAACATATCCTGAGGTTGAATGCCCATTATCTGGATTTCTACCATGATCTGTATCTGTGTACATTTTGAACAGCTCTGGGTTTGTAGCATCAGGTGAATATGTCAATTTTAGGTTGATCATCCCCTTTATGTATCTGAGGAGGCATTTCAGGGCCTCCCAATGCCTTAATCCAGGGTTTTTGCTGAATCATGATAGGATGCTGACTGCAAAAGCTATGTCAGGATGAGTGGTGATGGCCAAGTATGCTACAGAGCCAAGGATCTGGAGATATGGGATGTGCCACATGGTTTTCTATTTCTCTGAAGTAGCAGGGGACATCAAGCTGGATAGCTTAGTGTGTGGATCAAGAGAAGTACTGACACTGTTACAGTCAGACATTCCAGTACATTCTAGGATTTTTTGAATATACTGTGGTTGAGAGTGTGTGAGTGTTCAGTTTAGACAGTCTCTGTGTATTTCAACACCAAGGAGGAATGAAGTTGGACATAGATCACAAAGTTTGAAGTGCTTCTTGAGGTCATTGACAACACATCATGCAGACTCCATGGACTTTGCAGCAATTTTTACATCATTGACAAACACAGAGATGATAATTCAAGCATCATCTCTCATGTACACCCATATGCTATGTTCACAGCATACTCTGTCAAAGCCTATCTTGATCATAGTGCTGTGGAGCTTTTTGTGCCATTCATGCTCAGCCTGCTTTAGTCCATAGATGGACTTGAAGAGTCAAAGCATCTAGCTCTTGTCCTTTGTCTCAAATCCCTCTGGTTGTTGAAGGTATACCTCCTCTTTCAGATCACCATTCAGAAATGCTGATGAGATGTCCACACTCCAAAGCTCCAGGTCCTCAAGTGCAGCAAGAGTGAGGACTGTTCAGATGGCTGCCCATTTTGGAGTAGGAGAGAAGGTTTCAGTGTGGTTGAAATCTGGCTGCTGTGAGTACCCTTTTGCAACATAGTGTGCCTTGTAGCATTCAATGGATCTATCAGAGTTATGCTTCACTTTGAAGACTCATTTTCCACCTATAGCCTTTTGTCCTGGAGGGAGCTTCACAAGCTCAAAGATGCCACTTTCCTGCAGTGCATTTAATTCCTGCTGAGCTGCCTCATACTATTTTTCACTTTCCTCTCCTGGCCAAGTCATCACCTCTCCAAGTGTCTTTGGCTTATCATTGGATGCAGATGCTTGGTTTGCCATCTCCACTGCTATCTGAAATATGAGCTCAAGAGCTTCTGTATATGTGATATAGTCATTATCATGCAATACAAAAGTCATTTCTGTGACAGTGTCTGTCTCAGTAAGCTCTGGCTCAGCAGTGGTTTCATCAGTAGAATCAGAGACAGGTTCATCTGAGTCTGGTGAGTTTATCACATTAGTGCCAGAATGTTTATGGTGAAAACCATGTTCAGTATTTGGAGATGGAATTATAAGGCCTTTGGAGTCATATTGTGGCTTGAAGCATGCCTGAGGATATGAGAGTGGTGAAGAGGGTGTAGGAGATGTTGGAAGACTTGATAGTGGAGTAAGAGGTGATCCTGGAGGTGTTTGCATATCTGGTAGAGTGGATGGAGCTGACTTAGATGGCAAGAATGGTGATGATGAGAGTTGCTCAGATGGCAGAGATGGCTTATCAGTAGATATGTCCTCTCTCCCTTGATGAGGCATTGTTGCATCAGGTATAGCAGTATCTGTGCTGTTATATCTGTTTGTAGGAGATATATCATCACCAAGGGGATTTATAATATTTCTGTGATTTCCAGAAAATACATGCTCATTGAATACTGCATGGCTGGAGGTGATGAACTGCTGCATAGAAGGGTTTCAGAATAGCCAGCCTTCTACTCTCTCTGGATACCCAACAAAGATACATTTTTGGGTATGTAACTCTAATGCTCAATGTCTTTTTCTTCATACTAGCACATATGCAAGACATTCAAACACACAAAAGTGAGATATATATGGTTTTCAATGATTTGGGTCCCATTCTGTGAAGAGTGCAATGTTCAGAAGAGGATCTGTGGGGATGCAATTTTGGACATGGATGAATACTTGGAGAGCAAGATTCCAAAAAGATGGTGGGAAATGTGACTCATTTAGCATAGCAGTGATGGCCTCTGCAATCATGCAGTTGGCTCATTCTGCTGTGCCATTCTGGTATGGTTTATCAGATTTAGTATGTTGCCTTTTGATCTCATGCTCAGCACAAAAGTTGATGAACTCCTTTCCCATATATTCACCACCTTTGTCTTTCTGAAACTCAATGATTTTGAGTCCTGGATGAGTATTCTCTGCATATGCTTTGAACTGCTTGAAGGTATTAAAGGCATCACTTTTATACTTCAGAGGTGTGATGACCCAAGTGTCAGATGCACTGCAGATGAATGTTATCCAGTAGTGATAGCCCTCTGGAGTTGTGACAGGCATTAAACCTTTGATATCACTGTATACTTGCTCAAGAAGATGTTTCTTCTGCTCTGAGAGGCCATGAAGAACATTGTGGTGATGCTGTTTGCCAGTGAGGCATGATGTGCAAATAGGATCAGTTGAGGGACCTGACTCTTGCTTCATTCCAGTTACTAGCTGCTTTGTGTGCATGTGCTGTATAGTGTTCATGTTTCAATGACAGCAATGTCTATGCCAAAGTGTGTTGTCCATCTGGCAGATACTTGTGGAGCTTGAGTTTGCAATGATAGTGGCCAATTTTGAGAATGAATGTGTGGTAGCATTGACATAGCCAATATTGCTCTTGTTTACAGTTGCAGTGAATCAAACCTTTTCACCCTGGCTGAAAGTGACATCTAATCCAGTGATTGAGATCTTGAATCTCTTTTCCCATGTGAGATGATAGGGCAATAAGAGATTACTTTTCAATGCTGGTACATGTAGTATGTCAAGAAGTTCCACCACTGAACCTTTCTCTCCCTGAATCTCTGGCTCTAGTACTACTGACCCAATCTCTGCTGAATAGATGACTGAATTGTCTGCAAGACAAATAGGAATGACATGTGGAGCATAGAGTTGGAACCATTGTCAGTGAGGGGTCATATGATGAGAAGTGTCTGTATTGGTATTCCAATAAGACATGGCAGATGATGATAAATCAGTACTTGCTTGGCTAGCAGTCTTCTTCTTTGTCTCAGAAGAGTTAGCAGCTTCTGAATCCTTTTTTCCAGCCCTCTTGTGATGATGCTTCTCAGCAGCATAGTCAGCAGCATGTTCACAATCCTGTTTAAGTGAGAGCTTCTTGGTTATACACTCTTTCTCTGCATGATTCTTGCAAAGGCACCATCCACATTTTGCAGCAGCCTTGGTAGCTGAATTTGTGGCTGAATGGAAAGGTGTGGCTTTAAGAGCAATAGAGACTGCTGGATCACCAGCATGCAGCTTCTGATTGTTTTCTTCATTGTGAAATGCAGTGTGAAGTCCTTCAAGAGTGAGCTTATCAGAGAGAAGAAATAGTGATGTGACAAAGTTTCTAAATTCAGACTAAGGGAGTGCATGAATCAGGGCCATAATGAGAAGCTCTTCTTCTAACTGCTGGAGGCCAAAATGAGCAGGGCACAGAGCATGAATATGACTCATGATTTGGGTGCCTCAACTGGCAAGATCTGGAAGTGACTCTTCTGTCTCCTTCTTAAGATTGAAGAAGCTGTCATAGGCTACAAATTGAGTTGCTGGTTTTCTTTGCTGATGGTGTGCCTTTAATGTGTTCCACATTCTCTCTGGATCATCAAGGCAGAGGTAGATCATGCCAGCAGCTGATATCTGAGTCTCCTTTCAGTCCTTCTAGTTCTTCTTCTCCTGGTATGTTGGCTTCTCAGGGTCTGCAAACTCTGGTTCAGGGTCACAGCCAATAGTGATAAGGTAGTTATGGCAAGTTTTGAGTAGGGCTGACATGTTTTCTTCCCACTTGCCATAATTGGAGGCATTTAGATTGTTGAAGCCCTTTTTGATTGTGTCAAAGGATGGCATGATGTATATAGTGATATCATTTCAGTAGTGAAGTGACTGATAGAGAGATAGCAGGACACAAGCAAGATGTGAAGATGAAAAAAATGAAATAGACCTTAAAACATGAGGCCCATAACCTGTTGCAGGCAGGTTATTAGTGTGCAGTGAATGACAGCCAGGCTGAGTATGATGGTCAATTGCTTAAAGGGAGTTGACTGTCAACTCAGGACAAAACTGTCTATGCTTATATAAGGTTGACATCAGATACTTGTGTCATTCTGCAACAGTTAATTCAGAGAATCTGGTGTAGTTAGTCATCAAAGCACAAATTGTCCTTCTGTATTTAAGCTAAGTAAATACATGCTAGTTTATAGTGAGTCCAAATGTACTTAGAATGTGAAAATGGAGATGTGGGCAAAATGAAAAAGTGAAGAAGGTTAATAATAACCTGATAATAATGGTCTCAAACATGAATCACAATAGTATAAAACAAGAGTGGCCTCTCTGATGATGATGATTGTTGAAAACATTCACAGTGATGACATGGGTCTGCAGTCAGAGGAGCAGAATAGATGGACTGCAGTGTGGTGGCTGACATGATCATATCCATGCCAGATTGCATGGATAAGTTGTTCTGAAATGCAAAGACAAAAGCATCCAGTGATTCTGAGTCCAGAGTGAGAGTAAATGTTGATGATAATAGCTCCATGTGTGATGCATTTTCCTGAGAAAATTTGAGGAGAGAGTAGAGAGGAAAAGATGGCTGGGCATTGAATGGCACAGACACTGACAATGGCAACTGAGAATCTTTGAGTGGATGACTGGAATGAATAGCAGGGAGAAGTTCCTTCACTTCTACATTTGCACTGTTGCTGAGGTCATAGGTTTCATCAAACAAGGCTTTCCCATGGGCATTAACCTCAATAAAGTCATAGGCCTGAATATCATTCAGAGTAGCAGTTGAAGGAAAAGTAGTAGTGCCATACAACTTCAAGCTAGAATCAATGATGCCTTTAAATTCAGCCATTAAGACCTTGACCCATGCTCTAGATGAGTGCTTGGGGAAAGGTGATTTCTTTTGTGCAAATATCTTTCTTAGCTTTGGAACATATTGGTGTTTGGCCACATGATGCTTGAGAAGGGCTGCAGAGTCAGCAGAAGTGAAGTTTGACTCATATTTCTCTTTTAAACAATGGTATGGCTTCAGCCTATAGCTGTATGTCCAATTAAATGTGAGGTTAGTCATTTACAATTTTCTGAGAATGTACTGTTAGTTCATATGGATTCTATAATTGAGAAAGATTTTGCCAAAAATTTGCAAATATGACAGTAGAACCTTTAGAGTGTTGTTAGAGCATAGATCAGAATGTGAACAGCCAAAGATCTTACACTCCAGCTTTCTTTCCACATGCTGTCTTCTAATAAGGTCTGAGTTTACATCAGAAAGGAGACAATAATGCCAGGAGATACATCTTTTGTCTTGCAGCAGGCATGTTAATAAGAACTGGATGCTGGTAGAGGGAGAGAGAGGTGATGTGGCATGTTGTCTTTGCTGGAGAGAGCAAAGATATGTGGGAAGTGAGAAAAACATTGCTCCTCTGCCCTGCCTTATATTGGATTCAGCAATGGGTGAATTGGTTGCTGCTTTTTTTCATATAAAGGAATGTATACATAGCAGGTGCATAGAGTTGCTCAAAGAAGCAAATTTGGAAGACCAATTTCTGGGGTTGCACAAACAACTGTTATATAAGAAGAAGGAGAGGAGTGCCAATCATGAAGATAGCTGCTTGAGAAAAGCTGGCCATAGCAAAGCCTCTTTTGTTTGGTCTCCAAGTAGCTCAGTGGTTAGATGCTCAGTATAGCAACACTGCTAAAGGACCCTGCATGAAAGGATCTATTTCTAGATAGGTCATGACTCACTAGTCCATTAATGACTTAGAACTTCTAAGTCAACAATGGAGAGTCAAGAGAAAACATTGTAACTAAAATAAATACTTAGCTGCTACATGATGGCTGTTAGTAATCAGATACTACTACTTCTTGCCTTGTCCTCTTTCTAGACAACTGAAAAGAATTATGAAATTTCAACAAAATAGGCCAGATTTTTAGAATCATATTACTGTTTGTTTCTGTTGTAGAATTATTTGATGTCTTTATAGCAACAAAGGAACATTAGACATACTTATATTTTATCACAGAGGTTGATTAAGTTATCACTGATTTGATCAAAAACTTCATATCCATGATGTGTGATTCACTCCATGATATCTGCCAATGCTGAGACCTCAGCAGGGTCAGTGACTTTGGCCCTTTAGCCTTTCCCTATAAAATTTGAAAAAGTCTCTAATTATATGTCTCTCAGGTTTCTGTCTATCATATGCTTTAGAAATTTTAAATAGAGAGGTTATTGTGGGCTTGCTTTGTAACTGAAGTCAGTGAGATATCATGCACAGATAATCTTGATTGCTGTTGAATAATTAGGTAATTGGTATCTGAACACAACCAATGCACTTGGAAAACAGTAATCTACATGGAGTGCAAAGCTTAAATTTAATCATCACCAAGGAATCATCTCTATTATATTGCATCAGAAAGATCCTGAAATTTGCCAAATAGACTCACACAAGGAATTTAGGAGAGTTACAGAGATGTGTGCTTACCTATTATATGCCCAGCTTTCTACCTCAGCCTGAGATGGTCTTGTAAACAGAGTCATTCCATAGCCAGTTCACCTGGAATATTGTATCTATGGGAGTTGAAGTAAGTATCTTTCTCTCAAGTCAAGTATTTGTTGAAGTCTCATTAAATTGATAGATATTGAAGAGACAGCAAGACATCGATGCCAAAATAGTCAAGCTCTACTCAACCATTGATGTGCTTGGTAATGGCTAAATGATTAAGAGAGGTGAATGAGGAATGAACTCTCAAATGCCAACACCTAACCACTCAATACACAGTCACCAAATACAGTTGAGGTCAGTTGTTTTGAGTATGATAGAAGTACTCTTGCAGTCTTAAGTAAAATCAATGAAACAGTCAATAAAGACAGTTATTCAACTCTATCTTGCTTTCAAAGATGCAATACTCATGAGAGTAGTTTATAGCAATGTTTAAGTATAATTAGGACTTAGAATCAATGCCCAATTGTGCTCCAAATCAACTTAGAATATTCTGAAATCCAATAAACTCCAAAACCCAAATACTAAGTCTATCAAGCATTTAGGCTTGACTAGCTGCACTCTTGGCTGGCTAGCAGTCCTCAAAACTAAAGAATTTATATTCTGATTCCAGAACCCTTATAGTTTGGAACCCAAATTAATCTGAAATCCAAAATACAGTTATTATTCCAATCTAATCCTCTCTAAGTGACAAAGCAACTTAAATAAATCACTAAGTCAAAGCAGAACTCAAAATCCGTTGTCTCAGGGACTAACTACAGTGAGCTAGAAGGCCTGAAAGCAGGGGTGTGTCGCTTGCTTGCTATTTTCCCCTCTTCCCTACTTTTATACATCAAAAACAGGTATAGAATCTATAAATAAAGCATCCAAAGTAGTATTTCTCCTATTTAAAGCAGAATCACACTATTATTCTGGAATGACAGCGCTTCTGGACTCCCCTAGGCTTGCCCAGACCTGCCTGGCCACCGCACAGCTTTATTTTAAGCCTACAGTGTCTGTGGGTACCTAACTCCTTTCTGTTTACCCAGAGTTTTAATCCTCTGAGTTATTCTTAGTAGCTCAATTGATTAGGCCTGATCAGGCCTGGTCAATCAGTCCTATCCACTCTATTCCTCTCAATTCTAAGTCTCTTAGATCACCTGATACCTAGGAAGTTTGGACTTAGGCATTTGAGTCAAAACTCAGAGTGCTAGCCACAGATCATTGGGTCTCTCTTTTTACTGCTTCTGGATGATGCTATCTTTACTCAATACTCTATAACAGGCTATGGTATTATGCCTCTAGCTGTCTTAGAATATACTTGTCTTAATGGCATGTAGAATTGGTCTCATTTGAGGTACTATTTCTAAGTCCAACTTAGACTTAGTATTTTCCAAGATGTGGTGCAGAACTTTTCTAAGTTCAAACCTGACTTAGGATTTTTATCCTTAGGCCATGTTATTTTACAAAGTCCCTTTTGGACTTAGTATTAGTGACTAGCATGACTATCAGCTTAGAGCCTCAGCCATAGTTCTCTACTGGCTAATGGTCCTCAGTTACTAGCATATTCTAGTGTGTTATGCAGAATTTGCAAATTATAGGGCTGGATGTGTATCCAGCATATCATTGTAATTATTCTAGCATCAATGTATGAGTACATAGTAAGTAGCCAGTACTCTGCATACTGATGGTGTATCAGTTCCTGTATTATCTGATAGCCAAGCCAAAGAATGATAATACTCATAAGCCAACAGCTTGCCCATAAACATAAGCATCTGGAATTGCTCTGTGTTATGATTTTCTTATTTCTTCATTCCTTTCTTTCCTTTTAACCCCTATTTCTGCTTAGTCAAAGCACCTAGCCAGGTGCCTAGGACCATGGGACAAAGCTTAATCAGCACAACAAGCCAAGCCCACCACCCACTCCTGAAACCAATGATGACTGCAGACAATATCCTTTTATGTATGGTAATGATGCTCCAGAACAATGAGCACAATGGACAGAGGACTCTACAATAAGCACATAGTATTATTAGGAGGACATGTGACAGTATTTAAAGGGCAGCTCTAGCTGGATAAAGACCCCAGCTTTGAGCTAAAGTTTACAATCACCATTCTATCTTGAGTCTTTGTCTGACCTTGAGTCACACTGACTAGGATACACATACAGTGGACTCAGTTGATCTCTCGGAGTGCAAAGAGATGACTGTTTATCATATGTATCTATTCATGTGATGCTTGGGTCTAATAATTAGCTCAAAGCTTCCTTCTTCCCTTTCTCAAGCCCAATTGTGCTGAGAAACTGAATGCCCCCTCCTAGCAATGACAACTCAAACTTTGACCATGAGTTCTTCGAACTCCTTTCCTCCATCATCAGAACACTGATAGGCCTCTTGGTGATCATCCAGCTGTGCAGGAGATGCCATTCTATCACTGTCTGGGCCATCAGATATTATCACAAATTCAGAAACATTCAAAGGATCTTATGCAATAAAACCCCTGATCTCCCTCTACATGACATCCCTGAATCCCAACAAATGACCTACCAGCCCCCAGAAGCTGGGCCTAGTGGCTTACATCTGGAGAATGGTCAAGAAGAAACAAGAGGACAGCACTCTCCTTGACCTGGAAGTCAGCATCCTCGCATCCCAGGAGAACATGGGATCTTCATACTGGATGCGACACTCCACAGGAAGGACCAGGATCTCCCCAAGAACTTCTTTGAACAGTCCCCCTCCTCCGACCCTTCTTCTGCCTCTCACACCCATAGGATTGCTGACCATGCCAGGGACTCTCTTGATGCCCCTCGGATGGCTTGAGGATCTCATGCCACAACACCTCACAGCCAGTCTCACTGCCCTCTCACCCTCAGCCAACCTGACACTAGGCTGGGAGGGAACCCCCAGAACAAAGAAGAGTGACAATGAGTATGGGAGGAAATCATCCACTGATACTTCCCTCTCTGGGACTTTACTATTCCCTTCAACTATGATGATGCTGTCCAACAAGAGGAGCATAGGCAGCAGACTGAGTCACAGCCAGTACATGGAGAGCATAAGGACAGGCATGCAACAGAGGAGTGGCAGAGGAGAGAGGCCACCGAGTATGATGAGCAGAACTGGGACCACCAGTGGGAGACTGAGAGGAGCTGACTGGCTAGGGCTGATGTTTCCAACTGGTATAGATTATGACCTGAGGTTGCCAGCATACTCACACCAGTATGAGCCAATCCCTCTCTCTTGACCTCTGTCTTCAGAGAGCCCAGCTCCTCTCATAGCAGTACTCTGGAATATTGGGCCAATGGTACCAGGGCCAGAAGGAACCAATGACCTCCCTCCTGAAGAATGCCCAGTGCCGACACTGAGTTTGGTAGCGATGAGTCTGTCCTTGGGCATTATGGAACTGCCCATATCCCTGCCTGTGCACTCCAAGGCTTTCTTGGAAGTAGGATGGTCAGGCAGCTTGTCACCGACAATGACTACCAGTGAAACATCCACCTCTATTGTGAGCAAGTGGAGGCAGCAGGAGCAACAGGGGGAAACTAATATGACTCTGATATCAGTAGTCAGCCTGTTTTCACCTATCACAATCCACCAAACCCTCCAACCACTGGACTGAGTACTCAGCCAGAGCAGTGCAACAACAATCTGACAAGAGGGGGCTGAGAGTTTTTACGACCAGCCCACCACTTCCCTCCTTGAGGAGAAAGAGGAGGAAAAGGACACTGAGGAAACTGAGAGCAGCAAACAGCCCTGCCCTGGTGGAGTACTCAGATATGGGTTAGAAGAAACTACTGATGAAGAAGAGCTGGCACAGAAAATAAGGAGGGCAAGAATGCAAGAGTACCAGGAGTACTACCTACAGGGGGTAAACTTCTTATGGCATGATGCTACTTGAGTAGCATCGCAGTTGGGACAATTATACTTGCATTCAAACACTGACCAGCAAACAGAGATACTAAGAAATGCAGCAACAGATTATGCTGTGCTACAATACAACAAACAACATCCAGAAGACCAGGTCCAGAGGCCACCAGCATATCTGATGCTGACCCCTGTATGACCAATGCTGAAGACACCACCTGTCACCCTGAAGCGAGCCATATACACAGCTCCCTCTCTCTGCAATGCACCTTCATACTCCGACCCCTCCATCTGCTCCACAGCAACCTGGCTCTCATGATCCTGACCCCAGTCAGCAGCAGGACCAAGTGTCTATCGAAACCCATGGATGGGCCAAGAAAGCCAACTTCTAGGGGCTCAACTCCCACCTGATGAAGCGGAAGGAAGTGGCACTGGGAAAGAGCCAGAACAAGATGATCCTGAAGCAGTATGCCTGGGATTTACCATATGAAATGGGATCATTGTACAAAGGAGTGAGCTGCCACAGGGAAGCCTGGTAGCAGATGATAACTCTCTTCACTCCTTCTCTGGACCATCCAATGAATGGCAATGACCTTTCTTCTCAGAATGGCCTAACCTGATAGGGGCACTTCTCTAGGATGCAGCTGTCCTTCAGTGCCACCCAGACCTCTTACAGAAGCCCTGCCCTTTTAAAGGGGCTTCAGATGACATTGATCACTTCCTCATTGACTGTGAGCAGTATTTTGAGGTATACATCAGGTACCTGAGAACTGACATGAATAAAGTTGCCTTTGCCACTTCATACCTGGAAGAGAAGGTGAAGATATGGTGGATTCTCATTTCTCTGAACTTCTGATCAACCACATGAGACTATTACTGATACCTGTCATGGCCCATCTTCAAATGCATGCTGAACAACAAGTTCATTGACCTGATGGTACAGGAGATACACAAACAGAAAATCAAAGAGTACAAGATGGGAGACAAGGTGGCCATGGACTACTTTGATGAGCTGGAGAGGCTTGCCAAACTGGCAGGGATATGGGATGACATGGCCAATGATGGCTGAATGATTGAGACCCTCAAACAAGGAGTTCCCTCTTTGTACCTCATGATGATCTCCACGATGGGTGTCAGAATCCTGATGCCAGTCAGATATGATGAATGGAAGGAGCAGATCATCAAGATGTACAAGGAATGACAAAGACAGAAAGTGGAATCATCGACACTGCAGGAATACACCAAAAAGCTGACCCCACCAATCCTGAACAAGTCAGGGCAAACTGCTGGGAAATCACTGAGACTCTCAATGATCTTGAGCTATGGGAGCCAGAAGACCGGAACAGGCACTACTTACACCAGGGCAGAGAAGCCAATGGACATAGACTGGATAAAGAAGGAAGAGAAGTGCTTCAACTGCAGGCAGAAGGGTTATATGGCCAAAGATTGCCCTAAGAAGAAGTGAACTCATGAAGACATATGGGCACAAATCACCAAGTTGCAGAAAGAAGAAGAAGACCTGGGGAAGGACACCAAGGTTGAGGAGTTAAAAGATGAGGCCAGCCAGTGAGTGATTCCACTGGACTGGCCAAAGAATTGAAAGGTGTGCATTCTGCAGCCACTAGTCAGACTTATGGCACCCCTGTAGTTACTTCCATATCACCACTATATATGCATTTGAATATACCCCAACCAGTCACTGCACACACCACAGAATCACAAGAAAAAACTCAAACACCTATAGGCTGAAAAGGGGTAGAGAACCCCTCCAGCTGGCTCAGACCATTCAACACTGAATGGACCTGGAGAGCCATCAGAAAAGCCAGGGACAAGACCACAGCAAGAGCCATACTAAAAAATTGAATACATCAGACCCAAGTTAAAGAGATAGTTGATAAAATGATAGAAGAGATAAAGAGAGTGGAATGAAGCAGGGCCCTTGAATGGTTAGACAAGCTACACAGGCCACAAAAGTTCATCCGACATGCCAAAATCTCCAGAAGAGACCTGATGACAAAGGCTCAGATTGAGACTCTAACGTCCCAATCTATGTACTTGGTAACCACCCTGATTGACAGTGAGTGCACCAGAAGTTCAATAAACTGAGCCTTCATTGCCAAAAACCAACTCTCAACCAGAACCACCATGGCCCCCATTCCAGTCTATAATGCCAATAGAACAAAAAATCAAGTGGAGTCAATCACTGAGTTCATTGAACTGCAGCTCACTATTGGAGATCACTCCAAGCAGATTGACCTGGCTGTAACTGACCTGGAAACCAAGGAGGTGTTCCTGGATCATGATTGGCTCATACGACACAACCCACTCATTAATTGGAAGACTGGATGGGTTACCTTTGCCCGATGCTGATGCTGAAAAATCCCATTTGAACTGCCTGACGAGGACCTGGAGGATTGATGGGACAAAGAAATGGAGGATGGGGAGACAATCCTCACTATAGACTTGCAAAAGGAAATCCACATCCAAGCCATCCATCATGCCAATAACCTGGCAGTGAAAGCCAATGAGAGAAAGGCAGAAAAGATGTTTGAAGAAATGATGCCAGAATGGGCACAAGACTATCAGGACCTCTTCAAGAAAGAGTGTTTCGATGAGCTTCCTGCTCCAAAGCCTTGGGACCATGCAATCAAATTGATCCCGAATGCTAATGCCAATCTGGACTGCAAGACTTATCCCCTTGGCAATCAGAAACAGCAGGAGCTTGATAAATTCCTTGATGAGAACTTATCCAGTGGATATATCTGACCATCAAAATCCCTTATAGCATCACCATTCTTCTTCATGAAGAAGAAGGATGGCAAACTCTGACTGGTCCAGGATTACCAAAAACTGAATGAGATGACCATTAAAAATCAATATCCTCTCCTCTTGATCTTGGAGTTGATGGACAAACTCCAGGGGGCCAAATACTATATCAAACTCAATGTCTGATGGGGATATAATAATGTCCAAATCAAGGAGGGAGATTAGTGGAAGGCTGCCTTCAGGACCAACTGAGGGCTGTTTGAGCCTACCATTATGTTCTTCAGCCTCACCAACTCCTCTGCAATGTTCCAGTGGATGATGAACAACATCTTCAAAGATCTTATCACCACTGGAAAGGTCACAATCTATTTGGACAACATTCTGATCATGTCACAAATGAAGGAAGAACACAGGAGGCTAGTATGGCAGATACTAGCTCTGATGAGAAAACACAAGTTGTTCCTCAAAGTGGAGAAGTGTGAATTTGAAGTGCTCAAAACAGAATACCTCAGAGTAATTATCAGCAAGAGAAGTATCAGAATGGATCCCATCAAAGTGGCAGGGGTCACTGAATGGCTGGAGCCAACCAAGAAAAAGGAGTTACAATTCTTCCTTGGATTTACTAATTTCTATCAATGGTTTATCTGAGACTACAGCAAAATCATCTAGCCTATGACCCAGCTCACCAGCAATGCCCCCTGGGCTTGGGAAAACCCTCAGCGGTCCACATTTGAAGACCTGAAATGATGATTGGCTAAAGACATTATACTTGCTGTTTCATCTCAGGAGAGAAGATTCCGAGTCGAGGTGGACTCAAGTGAAGGAGCAACCAGCATCATACTCTCCCAGAAACAGGGAGGGAAATGGTGCCCAGTCGCATTCCTGTCAAAAGCACTTACCATCACAGAAAGGAACTATGAGATCTACAACAAGGAGCTACTTGCAATAATGCTTGCCCTGGAAGAGTGGTGACATTACCTGATAAGGGCAACCGAGGTCTTTGAGATCTGGACAGATCATCAAAATCTCAGGTATTTCTGACAACCCCAGAAGTTAAACTGTTAACAAGCTTGGTGGGTCACAGAGCTTAACCAGTATCAATATACCCTTCACCATAAGGCAGGGACAGTGAACAAGAAAGCTGATCTCTTAAGCTGATGAGCAGATCATGACCAGGGAGGAGCAGATAATGAAGGCATCACATTATTGCAACCTGAACATTTCAGGGCTATGATAATGCCAACAGAGGAAGAGATTCATGAACAAATCAAGAGTGCGACATGTGACAGCCACAAGTGGGACCAAAGAGTCACTCCATCTCTTAATCATGAAAGAGGAATGATGAAGGAGGATGGAATGATCCATTATGATGGAAGGATCTACATCCCTAGAGATTGAAGCCTACATGGGGAAATCATTGCCACATGCCACAACCATGTGACCACTAGACATCCTGGCATTGCAAAAACCAAGGAGCTCATTCTATGAGAATATTGGTGGCCCAAGATGGGAAACAACATCATTGCATACATCAAAGCATGCAAAGTCTGTCAGTGAGAGAAGGCCTCGACACAACCTCATACAGCATCTTTACACCCAAATGAGATCCCATCATCCCTGTGGACACACATCTCCATAGATATAATCACCAGACTACCAGACTGTAATGGCTATGATGTGATTCTCATCATTGTCGATCAATTCTCAAAGACAATCATTTCTGTTGCATGCTCCACAGAATTAACCTCAGAAGGATGGGCAAAGATCTTATGGGATGAGGTTTATACAAGATATGGCATGCCCCAAGTGGTCATCTCTGACTGAGGGCCCCAGTTCATGTCCAAGTTTCTAGATGACCTTTACCATCTCTTGAACATCAAATGAAACACCTCCACAGCATACCATCCACAAACTGATGGGCAAACAGAATGAGCAAACCAGGAGATAGAAAAGTATCTCCAACTATTCATCAATTACTGACAAGATGATTGGGTCGAATAGCTAGCACTCGCAGCATTCCAACACAACAACTGGATACACTTGGCCACAGAAAAGACACCATTTTTTGTAAATCATGAATGACACCCCAATGTTGCCCACACTGAACACCATTACACAATAACCCCCACATCCACAGACTTTGCTGCTATAATGACAAAGATCTATGCTGAAACAAAGATGGCACTCAAGAAAGCTGCCTTGTTGATGAAGGCCCAGTATGATAAACATCATCACCCAGCATGCATATATTTAACTGGTGACAAAGTCTGGCTGGACACAACAAACCTACATCTACCATGCCTGAAACAGAAACTGGCAGACAAATGTACAGGGCCCTTCCCCATCATCTCAAAAGTAGGGAACAGCACTTATAAACTTCACCTACCCATTAGCTGGAAGATTCATGATGTCTTTAATGAGACACTGCTATCACCATACATCGCACCCACCTTCCCGAACCAAGAACAACCACCACCACCTCCACCTGACCTGATCAATGATGAAGAACATTATAAAATTGAACAGGTACTAAACCATAAAATTTGAAAAATCAGGGCAAAAGGAGGCAGAATAACAACAACAGTGGACTATCTAGTCAGTTGGAAGGGGTATGAACCAGAATCAAATCAATGGGTAAATGAAAAGAACATGAATGCTGACACTGCTATACATGATTATAAACTATCTCTAAATTAAGCCATCAGGATGATGGTCTTAAGGAGAGGGTAATGTTATGATTTTCTTATTTCTTCATTCCTTTCTTTCCTTTTAACCCCTATTCCTGCTTAGTCAAGGCACCTAGCCAGGCATCTAGGACCATGAGACAAAGCTTAATCAGCATAACAAGCTAAGTCCACCACCCACTCCTGAAACCAATGATGACTGCAGACAATATCCTTTTATGTACAGTAATGATGCTCTGGGACAACAAGCACAATGGACAGAGGACTCTACAATAAGCACATAGTATTATTAGGAGGACATGTGACAGTATTTAAAGGGCAGCTCTAGCTGGATAAAGACCCCAGCTTCGAGCCAAAGTTTATAATCACCATTCTACCTTGAGTCTTTGTCTGACCTTGAGTCACACTGACTAGGATACACATATAGTGGACTCAGTTGATTCCTTGAAGTGCAAATGGATGACTGTTTATCACATGTATCTATTCATGTGATGCTTGGATCTAACACTCTGAAGCTGCAATAGTGACTGTGGTGCAAGGCTCTATCACAGTTCCTGGGAAAAGCCATGCATGTTGGAGTTGGCTAGCTAGTGGACATTCACATAAGCAACTACAGAAATTCAGAGCAACATCATAAACACTATTCATATCTATAATCATAAAATAGCTGCCAAATGCAGGCCTTAGATAAATACAGATGTCACCTACAAGATGCTCCACTTGATAGCATAAACCAAGCTTCCAGAGCAGAATCTTGTCAAAGTAATCACTATTTCAATGCTTAAACATAGTGAGTGACAGAATTCCACCAAATAAGAATACACATCTGAATGATATGGGTAGGGGAACTCTGATGTGCCATTACCATGCATAACTTACAGAACAGTCCTGTGTCCCAGCATGTAACACACTGGTAGGTAAAATCCTCATTAGAACATTTAACACCTCCACAGAAAGGCTGTGAGATGGCATCACCTTGCCCTTTACATCTTAAACTTTCATCCAGATAGCTGTCTATGTGGGCACTGAAGACTGCAAGAGAGTCATATCAGCAGATATACATTAACAATGATATCACAGTCATAGTGCTGATAATTAAATTACTTACTGTGTGAACATATTTATATAGGGCCATTGTGGCATCCTCCATATCTTCAGCCATAGCAAGTGCATATGCTTGTGGATCCAGGTGGTATGCCTCATTTGGGGTGTTATAGTCAACAGAAGTAAGGTCATCATTGTATTGGCTATGATTTGTCTTTTTCTTCTGTGGTGAGACTGGAAGATGGACTACTCTTTGTCTGATAGAAGATGTAGCTCCCTGTGTTGCCAGAAAAGACTATGATTGGTAATGGTGAGAGTGTGATGTTGGAGGAATGTCAGAAGAATCAGAGAAGAGTTCAATAGCATGAGAGTGCCATCCAATGTGATATTACTTGGTCTGCTTGAGAGCACACAGCACAGCTATCAGTGGGAAATGGCATTTTTAGCTTTCAAGGATGTATCCTTTTATATCTTTCTGCTTGCACTTTTCAATGCATTCTTGGTGCTGTTCACATGCACTTTCAACATGTTTTCAGTGCTGTCCACATGCAACAAAAGTATATACTCCTGTTGGCTCATTCATTATACAAGTAATGTATTGGATAGCCTGTGTTGTGCACTCAAGTTATCTTCTGCTAGCTTGCATCAGTAATATATTAGCCTCCATGGCATGGATCCAATCCTGAGGGCTTTGAAACTGACCATAGAAAGTAACTGTACAGTTCTTCAAGTGGCAGCAAATTGTTTCCTCTTATTTCATTTAATGGCATGCTTATGTATCAAATCCTCCAAAAAGGTCTGATCATATCTGATATTGCATGGTGTTACTTATTGTACCTTAGATGCATCTGACAGCACCACAAAAGGACTATCTCACCAAATATTTCATACTCTTTTGCTTTCTGGAGATACAATATCATTTGGAATATGCCAACATCTAGTTTGAGTCACTCTGGAAGTGCTTTATCATGCACTAGCCTATGAGAGATCTCAGTGAAACAGAGATAGATATTCTGAAGCAGGTATGAGAACAATGTTTTGCACTAGAAGTGTGCTACTGACTCTATCAATCAGCAAGTGAAGAATGATCTGCAGTGGCTGTTTTGGTCCCTCAATAGGGCCACCCAGCTTCATGAATAAAATCACATTGCTCACCAATATAAGGCTGCTACTGCCTCCCACCTGCAGCAATGGTCCAAACCAATTGAGGTTGTGACACTCCATCTAGTGGCAGCTAAATTGTGACAATATGCTGCAATTTTGGAGGCATATGGTGACAGATACCAGGAACATAATGAGGCATGAAAAGTGAGGATAGTTGGTGCTGAGGTGAATAGTGTAGCTGATGTGACACACCAGAGCACTGTATAAAGTACCAAGCAAACACAAGACCATGCTGAAGAAGATGATAACAAGGGGAATTCAGAGGTGAGGGTGAGCAAGCATGCTCATAAGCCTCTAGACTCTCATGGGATCATCACAACAGATTGGTTGCCCTCAGCTGTGGGGTATCTCATGGATTTGACTTTGGGCTTGGAGTGGCAGGACTTGCTTGTCAACTGGCAAAATCTCAAGGCACACATGTCACAGGTGCAAGGATGTTCTTCTGGCAAGATAAGCATCACCACTATTTGTTTACTGTATAGATTATTGACTTGGCTTTTAGAGACATATGGGTGTGCTATCATTAAGACTGTCAGTGCTATTGCTCTGGCTTGCCAACTGCTGCTACAATGTCTATCTGAATCCTCCTGCTAGCTTTTTAATGGAACTGTGCAAGTGGTGGAATGCAATGCAACCTGTTTGGCATCAAAACAAAATCAGCATTCTACCATTGCCAGTGTATGATCATTCACTGAATAAGGACCTACAGAAAGGGGATCAAAATAGCATAGTCACCATCCTCATAGGGCTCATGTGGTGGGGACAGAGTACCCTCAAGGCCAAAAATAGGGTGCTTTAGAAGAAAATGATGGTGAATGTTGATAAGTGTATTCAGGTAATGGTCACATCACTTTTAATATGATGTGATGCCTTTTTAGTGCTCAGGGCCTATTTGTTTTGGATGTTCTTGCTTTTCTGCTTTCCAGCTTTCCCACTTTCATCCTTAGTTTAGCTTTGACATGTGTAATTGGTAGAATATGTAATATATTGACTTTCATCTAGTATGTTATGTGTAAAAAGACAAACATATTATTTCATAGAAAAACAGGCAGAATAGATGGAAATATGTGATGCAACCCTATTCTATTCAGTGAGTGATGGTGAGCCAGTGATTGATCTAAGCACTTGAGGCACCAAGGCACATCTAATCAGGCAAAGACATTAAACAATCAATTTTGATGATAGATCTAGACTATCAATATTTATAGACATGGGAATTTCTAGAAAAGGTTGGGGGCGGACCCTATTGCAAGTGATGCGGGATGGACGTGATGATGAGCAAGGTATTTGCTAATTGAAGGGTCACATGACTGGCTGACAGTAGTGATATAACACACCATCGCACGGTAGGATACATGCATTAATGCATTTTGATTGATGGTTTGGATCCGTCGTTTAAATATTAAATCGTATGGATCCCTTGCTTTATCATACTGCTCTGGGGGCCATTGTATCCGAAAGCTCTCGGAAGGACATAGATTTGAGGGAATACATTCGTGATTTGCGAGCCGTCATTACTGTTGCGCGCGGCCCGATACACATCAAGTGGCTCGACAAGATGGTTTATCGATCGGGGGGCCTCTCTGCATCTTACTTTTTGAAGAAACTCCGCAGCGTCGTACAAGTTTCCGAAAATATGATGCTGCCTATCCGTCGATCCTTTTAAGATTTTCTACAGGATCCTGATCAATGCGGTGACGAATGGTGCATTAATGTGGGGAAGAGACAGAGAGCATGTGATTTGATTGAAGTGACAGTGGACGATGGATTCTAAATAATCAGAGATGAATGTTTTGTGCACGAAAGCTTAGTTGCAACCAGCACTTCAAAATTGCTTGTTATATAGATGATAAATTACCAAGATTTGACTCAGGTTCTTAATATACTAAATATTTTGAAGTTGCGATGACCAATCTGATGTCCCTGAGATTCTGAAGAATCAAGTTCAAACCGCGTCACCGGCATGTCAAATGTCGGCTTAGAATCACGGGTCTGTACTCCAAAGAAGTGAGCTGGGATTAACTGCGAAATATACTCGCTTACAGGTACTCCGAAAACCCCGGCAAATCAACGAACACGCATGTAAATACGCATGACAACGCAACGGCGACTGCCTGTCAGTGCCATGAGAAGCTCGAAACTGGCAGTTCCCGCTGCAAACTTTCATTTTTTCCTTCATTATGGCCAGAACCCAGCCACCTGTACCTAGTGTCGGATAAAGACTTCGCCGGAATTTCTCAGTTCCCCAGCGCCGTATAATCCATTTCCACTGGACATCACCAACGTCGGTGCTACGTTTCTCAGCTTTTGTGAGGTATTCCGTTCTGAATCTTACCGCTGTATCCCAAAGTAATACTTCTGCAAAGAAGTATGCTGGTGTGGGCGAATTCAAGCCGTTCCGTCTTGAGATGATGGCCGAAGATCCTTCTGATCGACCGACCAAGAAGGAAGTGCTCAGGAAATTTGGTCCTTGGGCCGAAGGATCAGATATAGATGCGTAGTGGAATTTGGCTGGATTACTCATGGCATAAGCCCCCGTCTCGATTTGTTCAATTTCTTTGGTGGAAATTCCCTTCTCTTCTGCCGTACTTCTGATTCTAGGTTTATTTACCCTGTGAGGATGCAAGGAAGCATCCTCAGTGTCGTATAATGCAGCAGTCGTGGCTAGAGACTTTGATCTGTGAAATGGATCCGTTTGATGGCTTGAATATCCATCTGCAACTACCATCGTTTAGACGGCGATTAAACCATAATGAGATATCTTGTACTCGATTTCGCGGTCAAGTATCAGAATCAAGCCATAAGCATCCTTTAGAGTAGCATATAAACTCACTGTGCAAAAGGTACAAACATTGGGACCCAGCATTGGATAGAAGAAAAACTGAGATGTGTCTTGGCAGCTGTTATTGTCTGGGTTCGTAAATACATTTCGGAAAAGAAAACGAATAAAAGAAATAGAGAAAACAGAGTGGAGTAGATAGACGGCGTGTATCGAGGTCATTAAATGGATGGCAAATCATAAAATGAGTAGGGGCTTTGGAGAGAACGCAACAACACATTTCAAAACATATTCACAACTGAAAGCGACGGTGGGCACAAGATAACCTGTCAACGAAGAATATCTTATTCTTTAGTTGCTGGACCCGGTATTGCCGCTGCTGGAACCCCCGGTGTATGCCCTTGTATTCCTAAAGATACAGATCAATCGGTCGTAATCAGAGATGAGATTAAGGACATATACATATTATTCCTGTTCGATGGACCGCTATTCCAGATCATGAGAAACATCAGTACGAGAAGAACGATGATTTGATGTGGCTTACGGGTCATTGCGGTGGTGTCTACACAATAGCTCTGTCAGATTCGTGCTGTGTAACGTTTGAAAGAATACTGACCCAGACGATGGCGAAGTGGCAGGGTAACCACTGCCTGTAGCTCCATATGACGATCCCTGAGTTTGCACGTGACTAGTATGACGGGTCAGCCGGAGACCATATGTGTTATAAAGCACGATTACCTCAAAGATGAAGCATGCGCCTGATTTGTATGCGCCTGCGCGTAACTGAAAACGCAATCGTTTTCAGCACGGATGCCATATTATTATTAGGACTTACGCCGCTTGCAGAGCTTCAATGTGGCGAGGTCTGTCGCGGGCAGGACTGTACGATTGGTTGCAGATATCAATGAGTGATGTTGATAGACTGACAAGTTTGACTCACTGTGCGGACCGTTGTAGGACGGAGGATGGGATGGCCCTGCGAATAGGATATAAGCATTGGATTGTCGGTGGGAATACATGGAACCTACCCAAAGGTGTTGTTGTCTATGGTGGCAGGGTTTCCGTGGGAGAGATGGGGCCTTTGGAAGCACAAGGTCGAATGGTGTGAGATATTGGAGATAAGTATGACACGTACAAGGTCGTGGAACCAGGCGTATAGCTATAACTATTCATGGTCGAGGACGTTCCGTTTCCAGAATGAGCAGATGTTATGGAAGGTACAATAGAAGCAGACGTTCTTGCAGACGCGCCCAGACCGGACGAGGCGTACTGGCTATTGGCGGCAAATGACATAGACGACAATGTCCCCGGAATATCATCTGAGGTATGCCGTGATGTCGGTGGAGTGCTGTGGTTTCTATTAGCAGAAAATTCAGCATTGAGATGACCATATGACCTGGAATAATGGGAAGATCTCGAGGGTTGATAGTGACTTGAGCTGCGAAGTGATGCAATGGAAGGATTAGAGGATGCATAGTGTCCTGCTGGCTGCCCTGCACCGCCTCCGGAATATCCTAAGGAGCTTGCTGGCGATACTGTGTTTCTGGTAGAATCCTGCAGTGAGTTTATTGAAGATTGTGCGTTATCTGCTGGCAAATATCCAGCCAATAATTGTTGCTGAGCCGCCTCTAGTTTAGACGCATTGGACGCATCCTGACATCAGTTGATGAGCTCCGATGAATAGAATTCTTTGAAAAAAGAGTCTTACCTCGTAATCCCGTTCGATTATAGCTAACGTAGTTCGTACCGTTTCTATGGTTGGCACAGTATTTGGAACTTGCGCTAGCTTATTCCGAATCCATGCATGAAAGCGCGTTCTGATCCGGCCAATGAATGTCAGATCACCGAGCGAAGTAAGGAGACTGTAAATAGGGATTCAGATAAAAATAAATCACGGAAAATGAAGAGCAGCAAGCCAGCAAGTATACCTCTGGAGGTTCTTAAGGATGTCGTCTTTGTCTACGACTAGGGTCGTGTCTCGTTCGACGACTTCAACGAGTGCGAGAATCTGTTTCTTAACAGCAGCAATCTCGGCTTTCTTGACTGCCATTGGAAGTATAAAAGGGAAGTGACTCGAGTGAATGAGAATCAGTCTGGAAGTGCGCCTTTTTATACGATAATGACGACGATACCCGAAAATGGACTCCCATTTTCACAAACAAACCAAGCAACAAGACTGGGTGAGGTTCGGAATTTGGTTCGATTTACCAGGAATGAGAAGGGTAAGAATTTCTGCAGATGTCACAAAGGGGATTAATTATTTGATTCATACCTCTCGCGAGATTCAGGTGGTTGACCGTAAGTTTACGGTCCGCGGGGCCGAAGACCAAAAATTATTCGGCAGTTTCCGCTGAAACCTTTCATTTCACTGTCATTATGGCCAGAACCCTGCCATCCTTGCCTGCGTTCGAAGATCCCCGAACCGCATCAGAATTATTTTGGGTGAAGCATCAGCCATTCTTGGAAACCCAAGGATTTATGCTCCGACCAAGGTACCATCCAGATTGGCACCCATCGTGGATTCTGAAGGATGGCACGGACCTGAAAGCAAAGTATGGCTTCAAAGTCGAGGACGATAATATTTTTCTGGTAGGCGCTTATTAAAAAGTTGTTTCTCAAAAAGTATTATATGTATTTGCAGCATGGATCTGTCCTTCTCGACGCAACTCGGATGAAGGATGGTGTCAAGGTCGTCCTTCGAATGGTACCGGTAGGCTCACAAGAACTTGCCATGATGGAGCACTTATCATCTGCGGACATGGTCCGCGACCCGCGAAACCGCACTGTTCCTATCCTTGGAATAATACCTATTCCAGGTGAAGAGAAACAACGTGTTTTTGTAGTCTTGCCTATGCTACGTGTCTTCAACTCCCCGCCATTTCACTGTCGACGTGAGTTCGCTGATGCGTTTCGACAGATCTTGGAGGTAGGTGGCTAGTCCATTTTCGTCACCAAGATACCTACGCCAGTGATAGGGAATACATTTTATGCATGAACATAATATCGCGCACGGGTAAGTCGTTTTCTTGTATACCGAAATATCATTCTCATCGATTGGTAGAGATGCATGCACAAGCAATTTCATGATGGACGCTACCGGTGTATGTCCAAGGGGTTTTCATATCGCATACCCGCATAGCTACAATGGCGTCTATCACGTCCTTCACGAGCGACCTCGCTGCCTCGTGTCTCCGGTGTCCTACTATATCATCGATTTTGAAACAACCCGGCACTTCCCTGCCGGGAGAAACGACGCGCGTGCTACGGCGATGAAGTGCCAGATCAAGAATTCCCCTGAGTTTCTCTGCTCCCCTCCTCTGCATAACCCTTTCTGTCTGGATGTATACAACGTTGGCGCCACATTCTTCCGAACTTGTGAGGTATTTCATCTTATCTTTCTTCCCGCTGTATCATCACAAGCTCATGTTCATTCGAAAGAGATATCACGGTCTAGATGATTTCAAACCTTTTTTTCTGACCATGATGGCGGAAGATCCGTTATTCCGACCGACAACGACGACAGCGCTCGAGGAATTTGATACGTTCATGGCCGCAAAGGATGTCATATGGATGCGTAGCCGCATTTGGCCGAATGACTCATTACACAAGCCACCGTCTCGCTTGGTGCAGTTTCTTTGGCGGAAATTTCCCTCTCTGTTACCGTATTTCTGAATCGGAATAGAGCATTTCCTGTTGTTTATTTGTTGTCATACTGCTGTTGACGCTGTCAAACATTTATCTTCAAGTACACAGATCTCTACTAGTAACTCTGTATCTGAAATTCAGTACGAACACAATGAGAAAATTGATCTGTCATTGTTACGAAGCCATGAGCATCAAGGTGCCTTAAAATTGGAATCATTGATACACCATCGATGAACCAGAATGAGCCACAACGCAGATGTAATAGGAGAAACTTGAATTTGGTAGGACTTCGCCTGCCCGGGGAAGCATGTCGCACCATCAGAGAACTACCTCGGTATATCTAGACTGCGAGTCAGAAGGGGAAACCGAGTATGGGATGGAAAGATGAAATCCAAGAAGTGGAGGAATGTCCCGGGGTCGGGGCCGAAGCGAGTCGACATTTAGGAACCGGTGACATCTTTGAATTCGTGATAAGTAAGGGAACGGTATTCATAGGCAAAGACGAGGGGTATTTCTCTACGGCTTCGCAGTTTGCTTAAGACTAACATTAGCCTCAACCAGAAGAGCGTACAGGAAGTCAAAGTGGGACGCATTGTTGCCACATTTCAAATACGTTATCCTTCTGGCGATTCTTGGTCCATCATTCGAGCACGGGAATTTCTTCCTTATCGTTAGAAGATGTGAGCTGGTTCCCGAATTACCGAGGTGAAAACCTTAAAAACGTGATAGGAACTTAGATGCACTTCTCGTTACACAACCGGCTTTTTGCGATAGATTTGACAGGAAGAGTTATGGGAATTACGGAACACCGCAGTTTGTTGAGACTCTAGGGCCTAGGTTTCCCTCGTACCATGAGGCAAAGTCATACTAAAGCTCCAAGATCAATGAAATAATTAGCATTGTGAGAAACAAGTTCCGGTAATAATATTTGACATCCAGATCCGACTCCAGATGATGAATGAAGATCGACTAGAAGGAAGTACAGCAACGATGTAGAATTATAGTTTCTGCGGGAGCAAGGATCCAGTAAACGAACATATTTCACCATGGAAGGGGCCAAGAAAATTCCAAACTGGGAAACCAATTACGCGGTGAGGTTACGCGATGGCTTGTGATGCTGATTCAGAAAGGCCGTGAGAAGAACGTCGGTACCACTGATCTATGACTCGACAACGTCCCGGATCAACGTTTTCGGCAACCAAGAATCATACCGTCTCTTAGGGTTTGATCTTTATCTTTTGCTGCGGAAGTTTGCAGAGTTGAGATAAGGAATATTTGTGTGTTCTTGATTTCTGTTGTCCCAAAGGATCAAAGAATAAAATAGAAGGTATCACAGGACTCCACTTGCATCTCTGTATATTAACCGAGCTCAGTGAACGGGATGAGTTCGTCTTGGATGGCGTTAATGGATTCATACAGTGATCATGAGTAATGACCATAGAAAGGGACGTTGAAATACTATTAGGTCACAGTGTATCGGAATCGCATATCAGAAGGTAGTGGCCGGCTATCGTTGGTGTCATTTTCGAGTCAGAATGTCACCGTTGTTTTGGTGCATGAGGCCTTTTGAATAGTTTTCGGATCTTAGATCCACAGTAATCTGGGCGTGATAAGTGACAAATATCAGAACGTCTCTTGCCGGCTCTTATCATTGACGTGTAAACTTATGAACACAGGGAACGAATTACCTATTTCCACCTTGTCTGGTTCAAGCTTGCAAACCAATCCAAGACGCAGGAGTTCTGCTACCACACAACGAATTACACGACATCGCTGAAGGGCTGAAGAAAGGCCGCGTCCGAATGTGCCAGGACACTGAGGTCACCTTACAGTGCAAGACAGATGAAATATGAACTGGTGTCAACGGCGCGAATCACTTTATGTGAACGCTTATCAGAATTGTGATTGGGACATAAACATTTTGACGGAAACGTTGAGGAACCGCAGCTACATCACGATTTATGAGTACAGAGTTTGGATCCTGGGGCATTCTTGAAAGGGCAATAAGACCTATAATGCGGCGATTTAGTCAACATACAGCGCAACGATGAAGGGTTCTGAAGCTAGATCTGTCGGCTTCGGGGACTGGGATCAGCAGCGGTCAACTATTTGGATCCCGCGAAAGGTACAGTCCCCAGTGAGTCAGAAAATTATTCGCCATGATCACATCTACAGAGGTCTGGACATTCTTGTCCGCTCGTAAATCGAACCAGAGTTCAACCTAATCAGTCGGCTGGTTCGTTTGCGGAAATGGCAGGCCATTTATAATTACTGACTATCATTGATATCATATACTTTTTATTTTCCCCGTCAACTCTGCATTGGTCTAAAATGGTATTTACGTCTACTTTTCAGAAATCAAAGGAGTCACTGGCGTCCAATTGTCGATTTCACTCTCCATCTAGCATCAAGCCTAGACTCCACTATCCTGCATACTCCCTGGCAAAAACTCCGCTCCTTGAAATTGACCTTGCAATCTCATACGGCAAGTGTTGGTCTACCCTTTCGCCTCACCATCTGAACATACCCAGGTAAGTTTCTAATGATGTTCCACGGGCTGTCACTAGTCGGGGCTGGGGGAATGACAATACATCGAGTTTGTCCGATTGTGGCTATGGTTCATCGACGGTGTGTCAGCGATTGTATCAGCGATAAATGTCCTTTGACTACGAAGTCTGAGTGATTCATCGTCCCATTGTATGTCCATTGAATGTCAGGTACGGAGTCAGAGATCAGTGTACGGCAGGTTCAATATATAGATAGATCATCATAGATATTTGACAGCTCTGATAGCAATGTGATAGCAAATGAACAATACGAAACGGTCTAATCTGAATCAGAAGTACGGTAAAAGAATAGGGAATTTCCGCCACAGAAATTGAACAAATCGAGACCGTGGCTTATACCATGCGTAATCCAGCCAAATGCGACTGCGAAGCCATATCTGATCCTTCGACCCAATGAACACGTCGAATTTCCTGAGCATCTCCTTCGTGGTCGGTCGTTCAGATGGATCCTTGGCCATCATCTCAACACAGAACGGCTTGAACTCATCCACACCAGCATACTTCTTTATAGCAACGTTAATTTGCAATACAAAAAGAGGGCTGAGAACTGAATACCTCACAAAAGCTGAGAAACGTGGCACCGACGTTGTAGACATCCAGTCGAAATGGATTGTACGGCGCTGGCGCACTGAGAAATTCCGGCGATGTCTTTATCTGACACTTCAGCGCTATGGCTCGTGCAGCATCTTTACCCTCGGGATAGTGCCTTGTTGTCTCGAAATCAATGATATAGTATTTGACGGGCGGCACAAGGCACCGTGGTCTCGCTTGAAGTCCAAGGCGAAGTCCGTCTATGCTGCCTATGTCGGATGTGAAACCCTTTCGGGCAGACGTTTGTGGCGTCCATCAGGAAGTTGAGCGTACATGCACCTCTAGAGCAACGTTACTAAGATCGATTTAAGAGCATCGATGGACTCACCCGTGTGCGATGTTGTTTTCATGCATGAAATCTATACCCTTCTTCGTCGTAAGATGAGCCCGACTACGAAGGATGCAGTAGCCCACCTCTAATATTTGTCTAAATGCATCAGCAAACTCTCGTCGACAGTGAAAGTCTGGAGAGTGAAACCATCGAAGAACAGGCGAGATCACAAACACCCTATCATTCTCCTCGCCAGGTATCGGTATAGTTCCTAGGACAGGAACTGTATGGTTGCGTGGGTCGGAGGGCATTTTGGGCGAGGAGAGGTGCATCATCATAGCCAGTTCCAGTGAGCCTACTGGTACGATACGAAGGACGACTTTGACGCCGTCCTCCATCCGAATTGCATCTATGATAGTAGATATATACTAGAAAGGAAGGCTCTTGTCTTCGGAAATAATAATGAAAAGATAAAAATCTCACAATCGAACGATGTTGGTCCTGAAAGATCAGAAAAGAATATTTTTCTTTCAAGTTGGTGCCATCCTTTTGGATCCACGAAGGGCGCCAGTCTGGATGGTATCGCGGGCGGAGCATGTAACCCTGGCTTTGCAAATACGGCTGATGCTTAACCCAAAAGAATTCACGGGGTGAGCTCAGATCTTCGAATGGAGGGAACGCAGGCCGCCTGGTCATGGTTGAAATTGAATGGACGATGCTGAACGTGCCGCATGTAAGGTCCCGGTAATTTTGATTTTTATGCCAGTGTCCTTGGCAGCGCACGTCGCATAGAAATCATGGTAAATAAGACGAAGTAGACATTGATAATACCGAATGAAAGTCGTTGGAGACCCAGGTGCATCCAGAATTTCGTCAACTTCATGCAGATGGCTGTTGGGTAATGACTTTGAGATCAGGGTCCCATCACAAGAAAAAAAGATCATAGTAACTCGCACACAGAGTGAATTTTTTCCATAAACATTCTTTGGAAACCTCTTATTGAAAGGTTGGGTCCCATGGAGCTATTGTTTTGTGCGCCGAGTCAGAGCTTGAGCCCTGAGGACCAAGATTCAGATATCTGCCAGCACGGAATCATGGATGTTGATTGAGCAGGGTAGCCAAAAAATTGGAAACCGATTTCCGAATCAAGAGCTTTAGAATACGAGTGGTGCAACACGATATTCGTGGTACACATTTTCCGGGTTTGCTTCTGGTAGGTGCCGGGTCGGCATTCGAAAGAGGATACTTTGTAAGTATTATTTTCAGAGGGGCTCGCCTTCCTTATTTACTTATCTCTTGCTCCAATCTTGCTTAGCTCTCTCCTTCATCCTCAGTTTCTGGGCGGTGTTCCGATTTGATGGATAAAATATCTCATTGTATTATCTACCCCTTTGCCCATTGTCAAAGCTAATCTTCTTCAGCGGCTCGGTGCCTCAATATATTGAGGGATGTACCTATTGTCCTGTCTCCGATTAATTCGCCCCCGTCATTTTAAATGACTGGATTTTTCGAAATCCTTCCATTTCCACAGTAGGTTCACTTTGGCTGTAATATCAGAATAAAGGTTCCCTTTCAAACGCCGGTTTTCTGAATGTCAGCATTTATTTATTTCAGGCAAAGATAAAGCGGATGGGATGTGCTCTTGAGTGCGCCACGTTGAATCCGGTGCTAGTATTACGCCACCAATCATCATAGGATGTCCCACGGAGTTATTCCTTAACTGGACATCTGGTAGGTCCATATACGTATTTCAAACATTAATTTCTATTTCGTCACCCATGTGGCCGTCGAGATGTTGAAAGTAGCTGATATCCATATGACGCTGCAAGGTTGGCCGAGAAAAGAATAAAAATACGGAGAGAATACCCAATGCCGAACAGGAGAGAGGGGTAGAAACGGAGAGAACAAGGTAGAAGCCGGGATGCCGGACAATACGCCGTGACATACGGCAGCGGTGCTGGAACCTCGTTTTGGTCATCGCCGGGCCCAAGGCACCCCAAACAGTCGTCTCTCTTCATTTCTTTCTTTCTCACCTCCACCATGCTCGTCGACGCTCCATTATCGCCATCCCTCTCACTTACCGAGTACAATACCGACCTTTCAGAATACCTTAACACGGATCTCTTCGGACCCAGCATAGAGGGCGAATCGTCTTCGCCCTCGTCGAGCGCGTCATCACCCCAGTCAGCATCGCTGTTGACACCGCCGCAGGCCCCGCCGTCGCCATCGTTCACCGACGTGTATGACTCTCCGTCGACGGGCAGCGCCCTTTTCAACTTCCTCGAAGACGAGCTGAAGCTTGATGTACAGCCATCGACGTCGCCGTTCCAGTTCTTGTCGAGGTATGAGGAGCAGCCGGAACCGATGGGCATCGACCCACAGCTGATGGCGACGCCTGCGGAGGAACCAATTCAGACGTTTAAGGAAGAGGAGAAGCCATTACAGCATGAGCCACAGCCTGTGCCCAAGCAGGAGAAGCTCACGTTGACCATTACTCCCTTCAAGGCTGGTGGTCACGGCCAATCGCGGAAGGGGACTGTAGTGAACGGTGGCGTTGTCAAAAGGTCCGTAGCTGCTCCGACACAGGCTACAGCCCCCGTCGTTGTGCCCAAAGAGAAGGAAAACATCGACGACGATGACGACCTCCCCGCTGATTGGCGTCCCCCCCCAGAGGTCTTCGCAAAGATGTCGAGCAAGGAAAAGCGCCAGCTCCGCAACAAGATCAGTGCACGCAATTTTCGTGTGCGAAGGAAGGGTAAGACATCTTTTCTTACTCGTCGTTGGCGCCACTGACATGGCGCAGAGTATATATCGACCCTTGAGCTCGATATTGCGGAGCGGGACCGTCTGCTGCAGTCTATTAGGGACGAGCTTGGCTCCACTCAGTCGGAAAACGTGGCTCTGCGTCAGGAGATTGCGGCTTTGAAGAAGGCTCTGCTAGAAGGTCGTTCGAATATGGAGCTGACTACGGAGGATATCCCTGTGCTCAACCTACCCCCTCCAGGCCCTATACCGACTGCAACCCCTGCAGCAACAGTCTCCCATGCTACATCACCATCACCATCCCTCATCACTGCCAACACGCAGAAGGATGTTGCATCACCACGCTCCGGGAGCTTCTGGGGTGGCGCATCTAGAATGGGTAGTGGCATCACTCCCGTGCACACGGTACTTATTCCCGAGATAGCTTGGACCAAGTCTGAAAATATCAATCCCGCTCTCAATGCAGAGAAACGCGTTAAGTCGCCTGTCACTTCCGGTTTCGATGGATTTACAGACAGCCACCTCTTCACGATGAAGAATCTCGACATGTGCGTAATAATTATTGTCTTTCCTGAGTTGGAGTTATTTACGTACGTTTTCGTGCAGGTACCGCATGCACTTGTGGTCAAAGATGGCCTCACAGCAAATGTCCCAACAGCAGCCCCAGTACCCGCCATCGCCACCATTATCAGCACCTTCTTCGCCTCGGACCCCGAGCAATCCATTGTTTTCACCATCTCCGTTCACCAACCCTTCGCTTCCGTCGTATTCCACGCCGCTCCACGGCCTCGCCTCGTTCATGGGCCCCAAATACTTCCAGACGTCGCACAAGGCGAATCTCCCTTCGCCACCCTCGTCCCCGCCAATGATGAGCAAGACTCTCAGCAAGGTGTTGTCAGGCAAACACGCGACTTTATCCCAGGGAGGGTTTGGAAGGAAGAGTTCTGCGCCGGCTCCGCCGATGAAGGATCAGGAACAGGCCTTCGTTGCTGCGCTTGCTGGACAGACCCTGTTGAAGCGTCTTGGTGGCGCGTTCTGGGATGCGTTTTCTGGGTCCGAGTCATCGTCAAAGATGAGGAAGATCGACACGGATAAGGTGAGGAGAGTCTTAGAAGGCAAGGCGGTGGTGCAAATCGTGGATGTGGATGTTGAATATCGGAAGGAGGTGGGAACGATGGGACGCAAGATAGCGGAGAACTGCAAGGATTCGTGCTCGGTCACGGCCATTCTGGAAGAGAGTATGAGGAGTTTGACGTTGGGAAAGAAGTAAAGCCCCCTGCCCTGGTTTGTACTACTCACATTCGTTTTCTTGGAGCTTTCTAATGTTTCTTTTTCACCAATTAGTTATATAACTAACCCCATCTCAGCATAGCATAGCATCGTTCTTCTCTCGTTCGTATTTACCATTACCTAGAATTCTTCACTCAAAAAAATGGTCATAATAGTGAAAAATATATCAATAAAATGTTCTTTTGGCGGAAGGCAGAAAAAAACCTCACGTCACATGGCGACCGGTGAACTGATGGACCGGTAATTAAAGTCTCAAGTGCCGCCGGCATATCACCCCAGATTAGGCTGTGGTCCTCGGAAACGAACTGGTTCGTACCATTGCTATGGGGCCGATCATGATCGATGTAGCTGTGTTCTTCGCGTTGGAACTCTTTATCATACTCATCCCTATACGGTCGAACGCAACCGTTCCTTACTGTATGAGACAATGGCATCCATAGTGATCAAATTGCATAAGAACATTATAGCTATGATGAGAACTGGTATTAGTGCTACATGAACAAGGGATCGTGTTATTTGAACATGTGCTTAAATTATTTCATGGAAAGTTGGCAAGCTTGGTCAGTGGATTTCACACAAAGCTCATTGTCCAGATGACCCAAGAGCTTTTCTGGTAAAGTCCAGACAGTATCTATGATATTTACCATGGACATACCTGCTTTGAATAGCTATATTATCAACTACAAGCCATTTACCCAGAGGAGGCAATGATTTTATCAACTTGGAGTTCCCAATCATTGTTGACAGTCCTTTGATATCATCATTTCAAGATATTAGCAGGGTAGGTTCTATTTCTTCCTGATTCATTCATAGTGCCTCCCTGAATGGTATCTTTTCACTAGTTTGCTGGATTATTTTATCTTGATTCTTATATATATAGAACTATGTCAATGCCATGGAATCATCAATATGAAGCTGTACTATCTTGAATATGTTGTTGCACATCTCAGTAACCTCCTTAGGGTGATCTAATGGTATGCAGGCATCCATCATCTGAACCAAGTGCATGCCTGTTTGTAGAAGTATGACTGGTTGAATTCTCATGGCTGCGCAAAAACAATGCCCCTCTGCATCTCAGACTAGTATAACAGCAGGAATGGACCTGAGCATGTTCATCAAACAATGGGATATCTTATCCTAGTCTACTCTGGTAGTGAAACTCCACCACATGGTTAATAATACATGTGGCTGGACCTATATAGGAATCATGAAGCTTTGTTCCATATATTAACACAGGCACCTGTTAACTTTTGGCAATTCTGCCCAGAGTGGTAAAGATCTGACTCTTCAGCCATTTGCAGGCAAGCCATGGATGGTGATGATATGCTTAGTGAATGATACTTACGGTAAATTTTGGCACAAAGCTGCGTTGCGACGCATACCGGCACAGTGTTGGATTCCCAAATGTTTCTCATCATTTACCGGTGCGCACGACTCTAGCGGCGCGTCGCGCATTCAGTAATAGGGTATGCCGGGCCACAAAAACGACGTAATCCACGGCGACATGGTATGCTCCCAAGACCGGTGATAAGACGATGGCACACTGGAACAGGGAACGGATCTGAAAGCTCGGTGAGGAACCAGATGATAATTTCAAGATAGCGAGCTGTAAGGTACATCAGGCTTTAGGAAAGGAAGCAGTACAGACTACGGAGTGAAATATGAGGACCAAATTCATCGCAGCTTACCAACGAGATATCGGCAAACTAGGTTCAGAGTGGACAGTCCTGATGCCGAGAAGTTTTCCTCGTGTTAAGCAGAGAAGCGCCGACATCGAATGGAATAGTTATGTGAGCCACACAGGGAAGGGTGCGGATCCAGGTCGTGATTAAGCTTCCTAGAGATGTATACGTCGGCTAGCAGCATGAGAGCACAAATGTCGCCAAGAAAATCTCATAGAGGAGTGGGAATCAGTGAAGACCATGAACATTTTCAAGAGAAAAGTTTGGGCGGCAGGTATAGAGCCACATCATGGAGTCAAAAAGCTGTGCGAATAACTCCGGTACTGCGGTGAGTCACAAAAACATGACTATGCATCGCCCAAAGAGTTAAAGGCTATATCTTTCATAACAGGCTTGATAAAGACTGCCCGTGGTGAAATACTTTCAGTCGCTCCCTAAATTTCAGGTTCGAATTTGCGATTCGGTTCGAAGCAAGGTTATGCGGGCATGCTTCTATCAGCGACCGCCGTTCCACTGACAGCTTCCTAGGTAGTGCAGGAATAAAGTAAAAGCTCGAACAAGCAGAACATTAGCTCCGTCGTCAAACCGGTTCAAAGGTGAATGAGGAGGTCCAACCCAAAAGCTTTCCTGTAGCAGAAGAAAACTAGGGTTGTCTTCCGATTGGTGGAAATGTCCGTGTTCGCAACCTAGACCATCAGCCGGCAGAGGAGCGCGCTCAGAACAGCTCATTAGTCGATATACAGCAAACCTTTACCAAGTACTGGGATCATGAGTTGAAACGATGGCAATGCGACCACGCGGATGTCAGAGTCCAGGGGTCCAATCTAATCTGCTTCTTTCAGAGACGCGAGGAGATACATGGAACGTCACAGCCCCCGAATACTCCATCGCATCTTTAGTGAAGATATCAGGGAAGCATCGAAATCAATCAAATTGCTGTGAGGGCCACGAGTAAAGATAGCCACAGAGTTTCGACTAGGGAGTGGCGACAAAACTGCAAAGGACGACGCAAAGTCTCAAGTTGCATCGAAAACATGTTCCAGAGAGCGAACCATTCAAAGGAAAGAAAGCAGGAATGCGGAAATATGAGCTGGCGTCATGAGTCAGAAAGACCGTGAGAGTGGCTCGGTACCGTACTGACTCGTTGACGAAGACGTCATGTTTGCAATGAGGATATCCACGTTCCCTCGGCAAATGGCACGACCCTTTGTGTGATCTAGGTATCTGATCCTGAGCGGCGAGGTACCGTATCCTTTTGGTCCACTAGTACGATTGTTTCATCTCCAAAAGAACCAGTTCGGAGCAGAGCGGATTTCAGAGCTAAATTACAGAATGACAAGATAAAGATAACGATCTACGGAAAGCATTAAATATCATCTAGACGTAGGAATGACAAGGATGAAATACATAATATAGAAACTGTATCCAAAACATGGGACAAACCGATCGCACACCTCATTCGACCATATCCTCCGCGTCAGGGACGATTTGCCTGCTCATGACACCACATGTTCAAACTGACCAAGTGATTCGGACGCCATCGATCTCTTGTTAGGATCGATCGAAACCATCCTGCGTAGTAGAGGCTTGAAGTCGTTCAGTCCGGTATATTCCTGCATCACTGGTTAGGATTACAGACCAGACCTTGATAATAACAGTGAGGGCTTACCTCGAATATGTCGAGCATGGCAATTCTAAGCTGGTAGACGTCAGCTTTGAATGGGTTATAAGATACATTACCTGAGTCCTTCATCTCCAGTACGCGCTGACCGACGATTCCCGAGACAAGGTCTTTATCAATTCCCTCAGGGAAGCATTCCGCGAATTCAAAATCGATGTAGTAATAGTCGACTGGACCGACGTAACATCGAATTTCAGTGGAGAGACCCCACTCCACGTCGTCGTGACTGATCCTATCACCGAAATGGTACCCCTTGGGAATTACGTGTCGATGGTTCATTACGAGATTATTTATACTGATGTCTCTAGATGCAGGACAACATGAGTCAAAGAGGAGACACAAAAAAGAGTTAACAAGACTTATGAGCAGTGTTTTTGGTATGCATGAATTCCAAGCCCTAATCAATGCAATAAGTAACAGACAATCATGATAATATCACAATACTCAATGGAAAGCAGTTGTCTGAATATCTCTGTAAACTCCAGTTGACAATGAAAAGGAGGAGTCACAAAGTTCTAACATGCTAGGAATTGGGAATATGTTGAGAAAAGGTATGACATTATTACAGGGATCTTTTCTCATCACCTCTGTTGACAAAAAGTGTGTGATTGATAGTTCAGACTCACCCTTCTGCAACAACATGGCTTTCAGCATGACTTTTGAGCCATTGGAGAGGCATATGGCAGCTATAATTTGTCATCTCTATAATTTTTAATGAGTAAATAATACATACCATTAAAGAGGTGGTTGCATGCACAAACTAAAAACTGACACAGTGCAGAAATATACACTGATCACACTCATACCAACACACACACACACAACCTTCTTACTTCATTGGGGGATTATAATGTGATAAGAGTAGTAACAGCAATACAATCATATTTTCAGCAATCCACTGTGTGCAAATAGCAATAGCACATGTATATATATCTGAGATCTCTCTAACTCTCAAAGCTTTTGTTTAACAAGAGGGGTGATGAATGTTGCTGGGCCTCAAGGCAAGGGTACTGTATCTCAACACAATACTTTGAAACACTCCAAAAAAAAAAACCTCAAAAAGTCCCAAGCACTGCTCAGACCAAACTCAAAGACCTTAACATGCACAATACATAACTTAAAGCTTCATGTTCTAAGCAGAAACACTTCACAAATATGTCCACAAGAACCACAGGGTTTGAATCTATGTGATCCAGAGACACAAAAACACAATAAAAACCCTGTCCACAGATCCAAAGGGTTTGAACCTCTGCCACCTGTAGTGCCTCACATTACAAATGCCTCAAAAACTCAAAAGAGTGCCCTCCAGACACTTCTCTCCTATTCTCAGACTAGAGCACAATTCAAAACCTTCTATTAAATCAGATTAGAGTCCTATAGAGGCTTTCATTGCCTTGTGCAATACTCAAATCACTTGGAATGATATCAATATAGATCTATTCTCTTGCCTAAAGTTACAAACTAATTCCAGCAGCTGGAGCACAAGGTCTTCATACCTTTACACCACAACAGTGGGGGTTGGAAACTTGTATTCTACTCTTACAATGTGGTACTTAAATAGTCTACTACTGTACTTACTAAGACACATTAAATATAGTAGTTTCAAAGTGTGGGACTCTGTTGCAGAGTCCCTGGCATATCATTCATGTGCATGTTGCAGTCTGACATGCATATTCTGCTCTGGGTCAGGACTGCCTTTTGTTTCTATGCAACCTGACACTGGTTGTCTCTGTTAGTGGCCTGGCCCCTGGTCTCTTTGCTTTCTTATTTCCCTGGGGCAATTAATCCATGGACAGGAGTCATTCTAGACTCCTGAGATCATTCCTGGTCATTTATTTCATCAAATCTTCTCATTTCTCAGCCAATCTCTCTGATATGCAGGTTTATCTCATTGTGCACCAATGCTCTGTTCTAGAACATATCCCTTGGCAATTTAATACCTATGCATCATTGATCAATGTGATGCAAAGTCAAGTGCAAAGTCCTGATCATATTTTGATCATGTGCTCTTTATTTTTAGTGGGTCTTTCTGTACTTTTATTAGTGCAATTAGTGTCAAGTGCTGGGACCTCATGTGCAGTATGACCCCCCCTGGTATCATCCTGCTGCTAGGCCATGCTCTCCACCCATCATCACTCAAGCCAGCTGTCATATAAGTCCCATTTCACTGTGCTCTAGCCATATTCTTTATTGTGCACATAGTAGACTGTGATACAGTCAATGTATTGTCATAATTCACAAAATTACATGCCTGGACATGCAGCAGGCATGTCAACATCTATGTGCAGCTATTCCTTGTTTCAATGAATATGTTCAACATCACATTTTAGAGTGTGGTCTTTGAAGGACAGATTCATGATAAATGAAGTACATATGATTACATCCATTCAGTAACAACAGGGTGGTAACATCAAAGGCAGATGAGATTAATACAAAGCATACAAAACACCAGTGAGCATTGCATAAAAGGTGTTGTATTTCAGGCCTGACAACAGGATTAGAACTAAAATATCAAATTATATTCACTCCTGTACCATATTGTCTGGGGATAGATCCACATTCCTGCACCGGCAAGTAGGAGACCGTGCTGCCCTGGGATTTGTCGGGGAGCTGGCAAGAATATATCGTTGAGTCGGAATGTATCCATCTTGTCGGATGCGCTCGCCTTCTCTGAGGCACTTTCAGTCTGGTTACGATGAGAAGGGCAGGTGCCCCACTTACTGAAGCCATGAATCAAGTAGGCTCACGCTCCTGTCCGAGCGAGCTAGGGATGCAGATGACGCGTCGTAGGCTGATGTCGGCGGGGAAATGCTAGTGATCTCATTAGAAAATAGTACAGCAACGTTGTGTGTACGTACCTTCCTCTGGTGCTACTAGTATCTATGGAAGATGCGTAGCCAGGAAATTGACTTGATGCCGGGTTGGTACCAGAATTGGCAAGATTGTTGGTATTCATAAGCTTTCTCGTTTCCGATTCTTTCTGGAAATACAACAGCATGACGACGAATCAAAGAGAATCAAAAAGGAAACGTAAAATCTCATTTATGTGCATCCTCTTCAACGTTTCGAAGATATACAAAAGTCGTCCACTGAGGGCGTCCACGACAGAACTCCTGTAAAGCGCTTGAACACCAGCGTATACCAGTCGTCCCGTGTAGATAAAGCCGCTGCAGCGGCTTCGAGGTTCGTAATTTGGCCCAACGCTCTGAATTGATATATAAGTAAGCAAGGAGAAAGACAAGTACATATTATACAAACATTTTAACCTGATGTACTCATTTTGCAGCATCGTCACTAGCATTCGCCTCGTTGAAATTATTCTGGATGTCGGGCTGGAGAGCATTTGCGACCTCCTTGACGTGTTAGGCATCGCCACTGATTACAGCGTTTCGTAGTCTCAGGTCCTGGGCAATAGTGCCAACCATTGGAGAGGTAGAGCTGAGGGGAGTCAGAGAGGGAGTCGCTTCGATCACCTGAAAAGCAGATACTGTGGCTATTTATCCTATAGCCGGAGATTTCCACACAAGTGAAGGTTGACGACGCCTTCATTCCGAAGGAGGAATAAGAAAGAAAAGCCTCGAAGGGCCAAGGCAGTCGAAATAATATGAGCCGGTTTGCTCTTTCAATTTCCTAAATGGGTCGCATCAGAATCGTCACATAATCCACAGCCTTTTCCGATACTATCACCCACTCCAGCATGGATTGCGCAAAGATACCACAGGCAGACACGATGTATATACCGATGGACTCGGAGAGCCAAGAATGTGAGCAATTCTGGGTTTCTCACCAGCCTTTCCTCGCCTCATGCGGATATATGTTACGACCACGATATCATCCTGATTGGATACCCTCATGGAAATCTAATCCTCACCCCATAAGCCTGTTGCAGTTTTATGAAGATGAGCATGTAATTCACGAGGGTCGTGTATGTGTTATTCTGTGATATTCCCTTCATCCTAGTCTGCTCATCGATATTCAGGCATGGAGATTAATAGACGCCACTCGAATCTCTGATGGGTGCAAGGTCGTACTGAAAGTGGTTTCGCTACTCGCAAATGAATACGAGCTGAGACTCACACACTTTCTCTCTCAGCCGGCAGTCAGACGGGATCCCCGCAATCATGCTATTCCTGTTCTTGATGTGGTCAACCTTCCGGACGTGAAGAACATAGCATTGATTGTCATGCCCATGTTCCATTCCTTCTTAAGATCTCCATTTCACTGTCGACTGGAATTCATCCAACTTTTCTAACGAGTTCTTTCTGTTGAGTGTTTCTTCTTCGAGAAAGTCCTCGTCCATTGACTCTCAGATATTCTCAGGGATTAGAATTCATGCAGTCTAAACATTGCACATAGGTAATGTTAGTTCGAGTCCGCTCCCTGACCTTCACTGACTTCTGTATAGAGAGACATCAGTATCAACAATGTCGTCATGGATCAGCGGCGCATTATGCCGAAGAGGTACCATTTCGGTTTTGACGCTAGTCAAGATGGCATCGAGTGGAATCCTCCAACGGAACTGCGATGTCTGGCCGGACCGGTGGACTACTACTATATCGATTTACAGTTCGCTGAATACTTCCCCGAAGGAAGGGATAAAGCCATCATTTCGGAAATAGTGGGCCAGCGCGTTCCTGAGATGAACAATTGAGACGATACTTTGTATAATCCATTCAAGGCGGACATTTACCAACTCGGTGCTACCATGCTCGATGAATTTGGGGCAACGTCTGTCTGTCTCCTCTAATTCTTTTGAACTCATCGATCTTACAGAGGCATTCTGGACTGAGCGACTTTAAACCCTTACTGCGGAATATGGTTTCGGTCAATCCTGATGAATGACCGACAGCTTCAGATGCGCTAACTCGATTCGACGCTATTATATCACGATCAAGTAAAGTGTCCATGACATGGAGGATATGGTCAAACCGCCTCCGTGATCCATCGGTTCCATGCTTCTGGAGTCGGTTTCTCTACTTTATTTTCCTTCCCTGCCGTTCCTTCATCTAGATCGCTGTCTAATCATTCTGACACCCTAGCCCTGCGACCTATATATAATTTATTTCTGGAACAAAGTCTTTTGAACTGACTCGTAAATCCAGGGCTGCCACAAAGGATCAGGCATGCTGTCATCCAGAGCCCTGACCGGAGCCTGAGACCAAAAACAAGTAGCCTGTCATGGGAAAAGGAACACTGATGTCCATGTCACAGACCTTTGCGCCCTTCTGTGAGTCATTGCGGTACCGAAGCCATTCTCACGGCCATTAAGTTTGTGACTCACGAATCACGTAACGTAGAATCTCTCATACGTTGGGTACTTGAGAAATATCTCCCTATGGAGCACTGGAGTACCTGAAAAGGATTGATGATTCGCTTATGCGCAGGAGATTACAGTCTCATTGTTCTCCACTGGGCCATTGTTCGTCTCGCCTCTGCCTTGAGCCGGCTGTTTTGACTGTGGCTCTCCAACCAATTTGGCTGATGGCGGCGTTGCTCTGTTATTCCCCTTGGACACGCTATATCATATTCTGACCTTCGGGACTTCTATTATTCGCTAGACTGTTACGCCTCGTGTCTTTGTGTGATTTTTACGAAAGCAGATTTATTGGACAATGAAACCGCATTGTCCGCGCTATTCTAGTCCTACAGAGGTCCTTCCTCCAGTCTGGAAATCCATTTCTGCATGTCCTTGTGTGCTTGGATGAGCGACTAGTGAATGGTACATCATACTCAGTGGGAAACGGCGGTTTGTCGTCGAGTCATTATTCATTATCTTGAGCCCTATGTCCTCTGGTCGCCATGATTGACAACTGTTCTTCGGCATATCAGTAAGCGCCGTCTGATTAGGCACCATAGTATGTACTTCCATGTTTCTGGTTTTGATGTGAAACGAATGAGGCATCGTTATTCTCTGACAGTCAAGCCGTGATGGCACTTGTTATGGCGCCAAGCTATACTCTTGCATTACTTCTGAATTTAGAGTTGGAAAAGATACCGAAAATTCGACTCAGTGAAATTCGCCCATATGAGACCTTTAAAGAAATACCTGACAGCCGGCTTCGGGGAGCTAGGACTCTTCTCGTGCTTGCCGAGAACGTGTCTTATTGTAGAAAGGTTAAATTTACAACTACAGTTTCGTACAATGCGATAGCAAGTGGACGCGTACACGGAAAGCACAAATGCACTACAAAGAGATTCAAAAATTATCGATTCCGCCACGGCATAATTTGATTAGATGTTCAGTAACTGGCACTGAACTCGGTCAGCTTCTTGCAGTCATCGAAATAAATAACTCCACGTACCCTGGCGAGCGCAGGCTGCTCCCGGAGGAGCCCGCTCCGGAGCTCTGGCCTTCACGAGACGCCTGACCGTATGTGCTGGTCGACGTGCTCGCTTGGCGACCGTGCTGCTTCTTTCCACTTTTTCTGTCATAATAGAATCAACCGTAATCCTTATTTTGTCTGGAAACGCGCATTACTCACTCAGAACTCTGGTGCGAACCGGACGATCCCAAGGACGAAGAAGATACATTATTGTGCATCGATGTGTGCCGAGAGATCCTAAAGAGATATCATGAATCACAGAAGATGGAAGGACAGTCTGGGAACATACCTGACTCCAAATGTGTTAGTAGTATGAGTGGTATGAGTGGTATGAGTAGTATCAACCGACGGCTGATGAGCGTGGCCAGGGACGTAGCCTGAAGCAGCTATGCTGTTTCCAGTGTTAATGACATTGTGTGGTCCGGACGGCCCGTTGTAATTTCCAGAATTTCCAGAGGTTCCAGCAGCAGGGATCGAACCCACGAGCCCTGGTCTCACGGCCCTAGAAACGATTAGCACCGACTGAGATGTTCATGACAAAAAACTCACGGCAAACACGGGATACTCCGGAATGCCTGCGATGCGGCACGAAAGGGAGCCGATAGTTCATTCTCCTCGGAGGCACGGCGGGGAGGAAGTTCCCTGTGAATAAACCGAATCAACATGAAGATCGAACAAGAGGAACAGAACGTACGGTGGGCTGGAGGGAGGGTAGCGTGTTGTTGAATTGATCATACATGAGACAATGCAGCACGCACTTGTTGTATTCCTCCCAGGAAACGATCTGCCCTGGGAATCCGGGCTTGGGGAGGTTTGTCAGGATTTCAGAAGGGTATCCTTGCCAACCGGTGTTGTGTTCTAGTCAATGACAGTAGGCCTGAATATCGATAGCTGTACTATACAGTTCTCGACGCACCAGCCATATATGCATTCTGTGGCAAATTCGGCGCAGAGTATTGGCCTTGTCCGACATTGTATTGAGGGAAGGATAGAGTAGGTAAATCTTGCTGCGAACCTGAATTCATATGAAGAGTAAGAGATACACAGATGCGTGTATTTGATACACGTACTGATAGGAAGTTTACGACTGGTAGATCTATTGCTGATCTTCGGAAGCGATAGCATTGATCTGCTTTTACTGGAAATATTGCCGAACACATTTCCTCCAGAGTTAACAATTGTAGACTGTTGGGTCGACGGAGAGGCGGAAGGTGCGGAGGAGTAATTGTTGACTGCCTGAGCCTGAGAATTCTCGGCGATTCTCCGTTCAGATTCGTTCTAGAACCCGCCAAAACGACGTTATTGAAGAATAACCGTAAGATATGGAAGCGCACCCTGGCATTCAACTGTGACTCTTTCAAATCCCGATAGATGTCGTCGAGTTCCTGTGCCAGTGGTGTGGCAAGAAGGACTCTAAAACGACTGGCTACCATACTATACCACTGCTCACGGGTAGCCGGAGATGCCCTCTGTTCCTTGATCTGCGTGATAGTTTTCAGTGCCCTTGACACGTGTCGTCAGTCCTGTAGAAACGAAAGTAGTGAGATGGACAAACTGATCAACATTGTCTAGCAATTCCTGGATGTCGTCGTCTCTAGTAAGGGTCCCCTCTGGAAGAGGAAACAGTTCTTGGATTTCAATGTTGACAGCGTCGGCAATGGCCTTCACATGGTCGAGTTCTTTGCCTCGAATGACAGCATATCGCAGCTTCAAATCTTGGGTAACAATACGCTTAGCCATGAGAGGTGAGAGCACGGCTTGGGGCCTGAGAAGTGGGGATTCCGAGTGACAGCCAACCAAATGTCGCGACTTTTATGTCAGAGCCGGACATTTCCATTACATATGATATAACAGAAAAGTAAAAGTAAATGGTCGAATGAGGAACCCTCAAGGCACGTTGAGAACATCATCCTTGTGAGCCAGTTTGCCTGATGACTGTCACCAAAACAGGGCACCCATCAAAATCTGACATAATCATCTTCCCTGGTTCTTTCCGACGTCCACCTGGCATGGATTCTCCGGAGCAGCCTCGCGCCAAGAAACTCTACATACCAGCTAACTGTGATCGCAAAGAAAATGAAATGTTTTGGGTCAACCTGCAACCTTTTCTCGCTTCCCAAGGATACATGCTCCGGCCACGATATCACCCGGACTGGATTCCTTCGTGGAAGTCCAATCCTCATCCGCAAGCGGACTTGAAGTCCTATGAAGACGAGCATACTATACATGGCGGACGCGTACGTGGCAATCATTTTGGCAGTTCGTCTGCTCATGAAATTTCAGAGATGGAGAATTATAGATGCAACTCGTGTATCTGATGGCAGTAAAGTGGTCATTAAAGTTGTATCATTGTTGTCGGACGAGTTTGAACTCGGAATTTTGCAATTTTTCTCGACGGAGGAAGTGCGGAAGGATCCTCGTAATAATACCATACCGCTTCTCGATGCATTCCCAATTCCCGGTGTGGAGAATTGGGCTCTAGCGGTCATGCCCATGTTTCGTTTCTTTGCATATTCGTATTTTCATTGTCGGTTGGAATTTATTGAGCTGTTCCGACAGCTACTTTCCGTTGAGTATTGTCTCTGCAGTGTGCTCTACGTCACTGATATTGATGGATCAGGGCTTGGAGTTTATGCATAGCGAGAACATCGCTCATAGGTGCAGTTTGTTTTCTACAATATATTTGCTTGCTCATCTTGACCCACATGCACAGAGATATCAGTGTCAATAATATCCTCATGGACCATCGACGGGTCATGCCCAAGGGCTATCACTTCGGCCTCAAACGTAGCCATGATGGTGTCGAGTGGAGTTTGCCAACTGAACTCCGTTGCCGCGTCGGACCAGTAGACTACTACTATATCGATTTCGAATTCTCGGAATGCTTCCCCGAGGGAAGGGAGAAAGCCCTTGTTTCGGGAATCGTTGGCCAGCGTGTTCCAGAGATGAAGAATTCGCAGGACGTTCTCTACAATCCGTTCAAGGCAGATGTCTACCAGCTTGGTATTGCCATGATGAACATCTTTGAGGTATGGCCGTCTGCTCCCCTCTGATTTGTATTTTCTCATCAGCGCGACAGGGTTATACTGGCCTTAATGATTTCAAGCCTTTGCTGCGGAAGATGGTCTCGATTGATCCCGATGAGAGACCAACGGCATCGGAAGCGCTAGTCCAGTTCGAGGCTATCGTTTCTCGGTCAAGAAAATCGTCCTTGTACTGGAGGATATGGTCAGATGACTTGTATGATCCATTAGTACCGTGGTTTTGGGTTCGATTCTTCTATCATATCTTTCCTCCTTGCCGTTCACATGTTTAGACGCGATTCAATTTATTCTATGTAGTTATTATTTTTATTCAGCTACTCTGTAATTCAGCTCCGCAACATGCGTTCGTAGAGGGTTCTTCTTTTGGATCGTAACGATGGCATCCTGAACCGATCCGCAAGCCACATTTTGCTCGTGCTAATGGACCAAAATGGCGTGGTACCTCGCTGCTCAGGATCAGATAGCCTTGATCACAGCATGATCGTGACATTTGCCCGCATTGCAAATACGAACCTTTCTTCAACGAGTCAGTATGATACCAAGCACTTTCATGGTCTTTCTGACTCATGACGCCGACTCGTTGGTCAACATTTGTGCTTCTTCCGTTTAAACTGTTGCTCTCTCACTCTCTGGAACATATTTTTGATACCGTTTAAGGCTTTGCGTCTTTCTTTGAACTTTCGTCACCACTCGCTAGTCAAAACTCTGTGGCTGGCTTTACTCGTGGCTCACACAGCAATTTGTTTGATTTCAGTGCTTCCCTGATATCTCCACTAAAGATGAGATGGAGTATTCTGGGCTGTGACGTTCCATGTATCTCCTCGTGTCTCTGAAAGAAGCAGATTAGAGTTGGACCCTTAGACTCTGACATCCGCATGGCCCCATTACCGTCCTTTCAACTCCTGACCCCAGGACTTGGTAAAGTTTTCCTATATATTGACTAATGAGCTATTATCAGTTCTCAGCGCCCTCCTCTGTCGTCTGATGGTCTAGGTTCCGAACACCGACATTTCCATCAATCGAAACGAGACCCTGGTATTCTTCCGCTACACGAAAGCTTTTGGGTTCACCTTTGAACTGGAAATTGTAATGCTGACGACTGAGGTAATGTTCTGCTTGTTTGAGCTTTTACTTTATTCTTGCGCTTCCTACGAATCGCGCTCGCTAATAGGAGCATGCCCGCTTCGAACCGAATCACAAACTTGAACCTGGGATTTCAGGGAGCGACCGAAAGTATTTCACCACGCGCAGTTTTTATCAAGCGTGTCATATAAGATACAGCCTTTTACTATTGGGGCGAAGCGTAGTCATGTCCTTTGTGACTCACCGCGGTACCGAATTTATTCGCACGGCTCTTTGACTCGATGATGTGGCTCTATACCTGCCGCCCAAGCTTTGCTCCTGAAAGGTCTTCATCGTCTTCACTGATTCAGATTCGTCCATCAGATTTGTTTCGCGATGCTTGTGCTCTCATGCTACTATCCGACGTCTACATCTCTCTAGGAGGCTTAATCACGATCTGGATCTTGTGTGGCTCACATAGCTATTTCATTTGATGTCGGCGCTTCTCTGCTTAGCATGAGGAAATCTTATCTGATATCCCCGCTCGAACACGTGATGTGGTTTCCTGGCCCTCGACGCTTCTGTTCGCTAGACTGTCACTCTTGTGTCTCGTGCAAACTTCTGGATTTGGACAATGGATTCCTGTAAATATTCCTCCTCGATCTGGAAGTTTGTTCTTGCGGATGTTTACCAGCTTGATGTCGCCATGCTGGACCTTTGCGAGGTAACGTCTGTCTGCCTCTTCTGGTTGTGTAAAGCTAATCCGTGATATAGAGGTATACCGGGCTGCGCAACTTGAACCTTTACTGCGGAGCATGGTTTCGGTTGATGATCCTATGATGATCTTACTAAGAAACTGACAGCTTTAGACGTGCTAGCCCAATCAGAGGCCATCGTCTCTCTCGTCTCTCGCTCGAGCAAATTGTCCATTTCATGGAGGATATAGTCAAACAGAGTTTGCGATCCTTTGGTCCCATGGTTCTGGGTTAGCTTGCTCTGCTTTGTTTTCCCTCACCCTAGTCTTGCAGTCTGCTGTGTTATATAATTTCTTTTCTGGAACAAGGCCGTTGTCAACCTGACTCGTAAACAAAGGGATCCCAGGAGACCAGAGACGCCGTTGTAGTAATAGGCACTCCAGAAGACAAAGGTGACCGAGGATTGGAAAATGAACACTAATTTCCCCGTCGGAGACCCTGGCACCCTGGTAAGTCATTGTGGTCGACACATTCTCATTGCTCACGGGCGACCAGAACGCGTGATTTAGGGACTGGCTACACCGAGGGTACACACTTGCCCCTACTGATTATAATCTCATTGTTCTCCTCTGAGCCACTGTGCGTCAACGCTCTTCCGTCAATTTGACTGATCTCTGCGCTTGTCTGATATCACCCTTGGAAGTGCGATATGGTATCCTGGCCGTCGATGCTTCTTCTATTCGCTAGATTGTTACGCCTCGCGTCCTTCTGCGATCTTCACAATACCAGATTTGTTGAACAATGGAGTCACGTCGTCCACATTACTTTATCCCTGTAAAGATTATTCCTTCGATCTGGAAATCCGTTCCTGAAGTGACCGCCCATAATCCTTCGTTTCGCCTGGAAGGGTACTTCCTTCAGACTCTTTGGGAAACAAAGCTTGGGTGTCGTGTCAAGATTCTTTATCTCGAACCCTATTCGGCATGATTGCATGATTCATAGTATTCGCGCGCCTGCTCGTCGTTCTGTTGTAAAAGTCTCCCTGCTTGGCCTAAAACTTCCCTACCAACCCCCCCCCCCCCAAAAAAAAATCTGTTGCAACATCCATGGCTGACCACAGCACCGATGGTCTAATGCACCGAAACACTGTCAGTGACAAGGAGATCGAGCAGGTCAAGACCATTGCAAACGAACTCATCTCCAAAATCAACACGAGGTTTACAAAGGCGAACACTAGTGGGGACGCCATTCTCGAGCAATGGGTCGAGAATGTTACATTGTTCGTCTATATATTTATTCAGTTCGGGTTGTCTCTTTTCTGAAAATATGATATCACCAGGGCCTTGGGAGATACCACTAATATCGAATATACCGATTGGTATTCTGAACTGGCCAAACGGTTCGTATATTTCCTCGAATCTACACCTGCGCAGGAAGAACTCCCTTTGGTATTCGGGAAATTACAGGAGATCGAGATCGGTTCCGAGGTGCATGATGAAAACATTGACTTTAGAGATTCGCCTTCTTTACATTGGTTTCAGAACACTTTCCGATCAAAGGAAGATTTACCTTGATAACGCCTCCTCGAACAATTCTGTTACATCTCAGAATGTATCAATTCGACCCGGGAATACTGTGACTAGCATATCGGACAATGATCGCCTCGTCACTTCCTCCGGGAAAGCCCCTTGTCTCACCGTTGAGCAGATTAAAGAAGCATTGTCCTCAGTGTACCGTCTTTACCCTTATGATCCGTGAGTAAGATTGTGATATAGTCCTCGATAACTCTGATGGCGGTCTAGGACCCTGGGGCAATTCAGAGGTTGCGTTAGAAAATATAACTATGCCACTAGACCGAACGGCATGGTTGACGCTGGGACTAATTATGCTTCAGGCCACATTCCTAGCCATTCCCGTCCCCCGGAGAATACCACCCACCCTACCGATACGTCTGCAGTTAGGTATGTCCGCAGGTTATCGTTTCATCTCCTTTGATTAATAGCGTTTCTTTAGGGAAGCGTCGATGCATATCGCATCGTCCTCATCCTTAAGATTTCCTGTTTTTTTCTTGGGCTCGAGAAGCCAGCTTGAAATCATTGCAACCTACCTCAAGCTTCGGTACGTAACGCTTTTATGAACGTAATGCGGATTGCGATTAATCTTATCGCACAAGACGAGGTGTTTATGAGCGTCCGGATGGCCAAACGAGCGGATCGGAGAGCCCCACGCCGGCCAGACGCCTCACGGAGACCAAAGCGACTCAGGATCCTCGGGGACAGCTCCTCCCCGCACAGGTATGTTAGGTTATTGTTTTGATGTTGGTGATAAAACTGACCAACTTTAATACCAGTTCCTGAGCGTCCAGTATTATGCCGTCGCTATTGATCTATAAGTTTGGAATAGTTGTTTCATATGCACGCTTTTTTGTTTCAACATACTCCTGCCTTCCATGTACCCAATACTATCAAAGTGTATGAAATCGGAATTTTATGTTTTATTATGCGACACATCTTAGTTTGCCTCAGTATGATCCCAATTTTACGAAAAGAACACCAGGTATTGCTCGGGAATGTCATTACAACGAGACTCACTTCGAGTCAGCGATCACTCACGGTTTACGTATCCTTTCCGGCTGTCTGGTCAGTTCACGGTTGATAGGTTGATAAGCAATACATACATGCACCATCAAATCAAGGGCTGAGGCTTGAGAGGAAAAGACCCGGATACCCAGACCCGCCTGCACGCGAATGCTATGAATCATGTTGACATAGAGTTCAAAATAAAGAATCGTGACACTCAAACTTGGTCTCCCCAAGAGTCTAAAGGAAGTACTCTTCCAGGTGCACAAGGAACTCATGCGAGGTCACTTCCTTGCACGGGCTGATGTAGATGTCGTTTGAGTTATTCATCTCTGTAACTCGCTGGCCCACCGTTCCCGAAACGACGGCTTTAAGTTTGACTCCTCCTTCCGAGGGGAAAGCATTCAGAATAAAATCGATATAGTAGCAGTCACCTGGTCCCGCGAGACAACTCAGCTCGTTCGATAAATTCCAGTCGACAGTGAAACGGAGGAGCTGACAAAGAATGGAAAAATCAAAGCAAGGTTCTTCACAGATAGACCACATCACGAATGACAATAACACGATTACGGGGAAGTCGCCTGAGTCCTGGCCGAGATAGAAAATGTGCGATTCGCAGCTTGAACACGTTTCGATAGTAGTGAGACGACTTCCAGTATGACCTTGCATCTGTCAGAGAGTCGAACCACGTCTACTATCATTATGCCTGAACCTCAGTGAGCAAATAACGAAATTTCATACGATAATGCTTACACGACCGACGTAGATTACACGTTCATCTTCATAAAACTGCAACAGGATTATGGGATGAAGATTGAACTTCATGAAGGAATCTGGCAATCAGGATGATATTATCGCGGTCGTAGCATGTGTCTGAAGATGGTGACTGATAGATTATGTAAGTCTTTGGCGACCTCATTTAGGAAGGTCCATGATCGAACAAATCGGCTCAATTCAATTCGTCTTGACTTCTTCCTCCCTGGCGCCTATATTGTGTGCTGTTTCTGTCTCTAGAATGGACATCTCCGGGGCAGTCAGAGATAAAACCTACCGATATCTGATGGCGCAGAGCCACTCCTCTTTACCCAATCCCTCCCCCCTTTCTGACTCTCATGGACAGCCCTATTACCCAGGATTTGTGGCTACGAGGTGATATCATCTGTAGCAAGGAGATCCTTCAAGTCAGAGTCATTGCGAATTCCCTCCAGCTTCACATCCAGAATACTTTTGACAAGGCATGCGCCGACCAAGAATTAATCAAATGGGTATTACGCGTCGAAATGTTCGTTCAATATGCAGAGACCTTCATCCTGGCTTAATAATCTCTCAATCCAGGCTTTTGGATAAAATTCCAAGCTTGGAAGCCAATGCTAACACCCGGATGGAGTGGTACACAAGTATATACCAGCAGTTTAAGGAAGCCCTTTCGCATACACCGCTCCGTGGTGAGCTTTCGTTGATCAATGCGCGGTTGCAGAAGATTCAAGATGGCGCGGACGTATGTCTTCATTTGCATTGTCTTCGACTGTCGTCACGCGGATACTATTTCTAGAGAGAATCTGATCAGAGAATGATCGACAATCTAGCTAACGCTGGTAACATCCCCACCTCAGGACAGTTTCCTGGCTACGCATTTTCTGTAGATTTTAGCAATACTGGAGGAAGGTGTGTGACCAAAAATGACATCGTACTGTTTTCTAAGCAGATTACCTACTAGAAGCATTTTCCTGCCAACATCAAACTACAACACGTCGTCTTCATCCTTGGCTGGCCCTGCCAGGGGCTTAAACCATCAAGATCAAGCATGGCTGCGGTATGTGGCGCAGTTACTCTTCTTGTAGTGACCAGACTGAAAGTGTCTCAGAGAAAGCGTTCGTATCCGACAAGGCGGCTACACTCCGAGTCAGCCATACATTTACGCGAGCTTCCATGACCATCTCTGTAGATGCCACAGGGATGACGAGTCCTCCCAGACAACTCAATACGGGAGCTACTAATGCTCTGATGCTCTTCCCGTTATTAGGCCTGAAACTTGAAGAAAGGATTAAGACTAAGTGAATGATGGATGCATTATGAATAATGTTTAATTTTGGGTCTCTTTGCCGTGGCGTTTGTGTAATCTGTCTTCGATGTTACCAACTACTGTCGAAGAAATGAAATCGTATTCTTACCTCATGAGAAGTTCTCAAGTGTCGCTTCTTGCAGAAAGACGGCGAGACACATTGCAGTCGCCGTTGATCTCGCGCATTAGCTACTTCATTCTCGACAGCTTAAGTTGGACTTGACGTGTCTTGAGCTGCCCGAGTGTCCTTCTTACGTCGTTGGCCACGACAACTGCATGGAAGCGGGCATGGATAGTTAGCGAGAAGATGCGTCATATATTCGTAAATATTGGAGTGGAGTTAGAAATCATGGGTCGTAGCTCGTGCTAGTTGAGCGGAGTGATAATAATACTAGTAGGTTGTGAGATGAATAGATAGTAGCGGTGACTATCATGGCAATAGCGTTTCAGAGCGTGGCTGAATTATGGTGAGAAACATGAAACTTCGTTGATGAGGATGTCGCTGTGAGGAGCCGGTCGAGGCCGGCTGAAGATAAATTGTCTAAAGAAGATGTTGAAGATGGGTGCGATATGGACCTTGACGTTGCGTCGGGGGCTAACGCTAAAAGGGATTACGATAAGCGACATTTAATGTAACACAAATCAAAACGCCTTACTCCATGTGGCCAGTAGCTTATATGCATATTTGTTGGCGTCATGCTTTCGGCGCGTCTGAACACAATCGAGGAGTCCGTAGAAGGTCTCCCCAGATCACTCTGCTCTGGCTCCTTGGATGATAGTTCGTATTGTTTCAGAGGATCCCTTCGGACTGAAGACACCGACAGAGTAGACTGCCGATGACCCCGGTTCGGCAACCGGTACTTCTGAGGCCGCGAGTTTCCTTCAGCCGGTAAGATGAGCGGAGATTTGTCCTACCGAAATGGTCAAGATGGGCTGAGGTAGAAAATGAAATGGGAGGTACTCTGTAGGCCGTTTCTATGGCATCAACATTATCTCGGATTTCGGCAATAGAGGGCACTGCCTCTGGAATCTTTGCCATTACCCTACGAACGCAAGCATAAAAGAAGACCCTTATGCTTCCTACGAAAGTATGATTATCTAAATCATGAAGGACTCTGCACAGAACAATTAGCAAGCACCATCGGCTAAAAAAAACCCCATACGCGTCGAGATCATCTAGAATCAACTGCTTCCCGTCTCCCAACGTGTCGTCTTCTTGGACGGTTTTGATGAGATTTCGAATTTGGTCGTGCACTTCCTCAACTTCCGACCTTTTGACCGGCATCGGGGGCTACGGAAGGAGAAGGGAAAGAGCGAAACCCAACAGACGGTGGGTACGTATGTAATTGAGCTAGTGCCCGTGATTTTGGAACATTCACTCGAAGACAGCAAATGACAGATGCAGTTGAGAAGCCCGAGTACCGGAACTCGTGGCATTAGCCCGCTGGCAACTCGTACCGTTGTGCCGATGACTGATCAATCACTGCCACGACCCTTGGCGATCTCGCTTCGTTTCTTGCCCTGCTACCATTCTTTTATGGATCCAACTTGGTGTCCTCCAGGGCGCTGCAGAATAATTCACCGATGTTCTTTACCAACTTCTCCACTATTATCATTTGCATTCAGCACACTCGACCGGTGTCGCTCTCGGTTTGAAATTGTAGATGAGGATGGTAGCAGCAAGGAGAAGCAAAAGAGAAGTTTAAATTCGAGGATAAGCGTTGTTTCTTCACTTCAGACAGATTTTTGCTGTGTTCCTGAATTACAAGCCAATCAATATACTCATTTTTGGTCGTCTTGAACGCGATTCAAACGGCGGACGCGTCAAAGACAGTCTTCGAACTCTCCCAGTAGGAACATTGCGATGCCTAGCAAAGAGAAGAGTGGTGCAGTGCTGCCTATGATGCTACGGGCTTTGGGGTGCTATGTTCGCTATCTGGCTGAGTTCGCGCAGCCACTTCAGTGATTCGCGTCCACTCCTGGGCTCTTTTTCTCGATAGGCTGTGGGATGACTTTCTCGTTTGATGCTACTCACCTTAAGATTGCATTAGAAAAGATATCCCTATCCCCAACGATGCAACGGTTCAGTGGTCTAGTGGTTATGATTTGTGTCTCACAAGGTACACACAAGGTCCCCAGTTCGATCCTGGGCTGAACCACTGTATGTGCATCTATTTTGAACCAATAACTAGACTTGATAGTCTAAATAGCTAGCACAAATCTTTTTCTCTTGTCAATCTAGTAGCGTTGTAGAGTGTGCCACAAAAGGCTGGACTATGATGGCTTCTACCGTCTTGTTTGGCTCGGTTATCATATCATAGAGCATGGCCGGGTTCTCATCATCAATACATTTTGTTAAGTACGCCTAGACAAAGGCCAATTCAACGAATCCCATTGAAACGCGACAATGTACTAAGGAACAAAACTACAAGGATATCTCTGGATCTCGAAGACAGGCGCACAGGGATCGACTCCGAACATTGCGCACGCACCCAATGCGCGTTTAGCATGAAGCTGATACAGATACATCTGGGAACAGTGCGTTCCAAGACAACCTAGACATTTTGATCACCAGCAAGGAATGAGTCGGGAGGAATATCAGTCGAAGACTAGCTCCGATCCTGCAATCTCAATTCGGTAGTTTGTAACAGATTTGACATGAGCATCCCGGACAAAAGGAGAAACGGTAGTCCAAATGGAAGTTGGGATCACGATCATCGATCAATACCCATCTCGAAGGGCAGGATGATCCAACTTCCAGTTCGGTCAGGAGAAATATTATGAAGATGGAAGGTGAACGTTAACCGTACCAGTTCTGAGGCTCTGTATCTTGACCACACTCTGTTCAACATTGTTGGAAATCCTCGGTAATGCGCAGGGTAGACTCCAGGCTGGTAAGGCCAGAAGGTATAAACTCCTTATTCTACAGCTCCTACAGAGCTTGTATTTATACTCTCCAGACTTATATCTAGAATCTACTATAACTTTCTCTTTCTCTCGAGCTTACTCATCAACTCTCGGCATGATGCCGGATTGCTCTTTCTAGAACTTTCCAGCAAAATCCCAACAAACATGTCTCCCAGTGAGCAGATATTCTTTGGCCTCAGGAAAGACATAATACAGAACTAACGGGATTTTCTTGACATCGTGACAGTATCAAAGTAGCTACAGGTTAGAAATTGAGGACGACCTTCATGGCTTTGTGTTCTGCCGCCGCCCCGAACGTAGTGTAAGCCTCTTCGATCTCTGCGAAGTTGTACCTATGCGTCACCAAGTCCCCAATTTTGATCTGTCCCGAACCGAGCAGTTTTATCAGCATAGGCACGGTAGTAGTATCCACCAGACGAGTGGTAATGGCTATTACACGCCCGTTAAATAAAGCCAATACCCTCAAGACGATAACAACTCACTAATGTTTTTGTCCCACAAAATTTCCAGGTGTAAATCCACCTTACAGCCGTGTACGCCCATGTTCGCTATAGTCCCTCCCGGAGCAACGAGTTCCTGACAGAGCTCAAAGGTTGCGGGGACACCGACGGCTTCGATTACCGTATCAGCGCCTTTACCGTTTGTGAGTTCCTTGACGGCCGCTACCACATCTACACCTTCTCCCGATACAATACCATGTGTCGCACCCATACTTTTGGCTAGTGCAATACGATTGGAGTTGCGACTAACCATGATGACTTGCGAGGGGGAATAGAGCTGCGCCGTGACCATTGCGCTAAGGCCGACAGGACCGCAGCCAATAATAGCGACAGAGCATCCGGGGGCCACCTACCCACGTTGGTTAAAAAGTGTTCAATACATCAGCGAGCATAGGAGGATACCTTTCCACTGAGCACGCCACACTCAAATGCGGTCGGCAAAGCGTCACTGATCATGACTTGCTCCTCGGCGGTCGCGCCTTCCACCATGAGATGCAAGCTGCCATCCGCATGGGGGATACGGACGAACTCGGCTTGAGTGCCATCGATAGTATTCCCCAGAGTCCACCCACCGTCGACGCAGAGGGAAGGCATCTCCTTGCGGCAGTGGTCGCAGCTAGAGCAGGAGGTCACGGAGGAAACGATGACATTGTCGCCTGGTTTGAATCTCGTAACGCCGTCTCCGACGGATTGTACGACGGCAACGCCTTCGTGGCCCAGGATCCGTCCGGTATCGCACGTAGAGACGTGGCCTTTGAGAATGTGTAAGTCCGACCCTGGTAGTGCATTAGAGCCTGTCTGGCAAAGAAAGACAGGAAGGCAAGAATCACCGCAAATCGTAGTCTTGACCATCCTGACGATAGCATCGGTTGACTCTATGATTGTCGGTTTTGGACGATCTTGTAGCATAGGTTGACCCTTTCCAGCGAAGACAAGCGCTTTCATAGTTGTATCCGACCTGTGAAAGGATGAAGATAGTTCATGGACATATTGGCCGACACTCACATGTGTAACACTGTTAGGTAGGTAGGTGGTTAGGAAGTGGTGCACCAGAACTGAAGGACTGTAGCTCGGATTTTGACCTGATACGAGGAGAACAGGAAGCCCAAAAAGCTCATTGAATTGCTTGCCATGCAACTTGAGCGACGATGTTGCGGTGTTAACGTTCAATCCTGGCAGGTGACTAAATGGCGAAATCGTGCTGGTCAAAAAATTCAAGGGAAACAATTAGAATAGAGATCAATTCATGGTATAAATACGGCACAAGGAGAGAGCAGAAAGGCAAAGAAAGTTCATTGAAATGTTTCCCATGCAAGTTGAGCGATGACGTTGTGGCGTTAAGGTTATAACTACTCCTAGCAGGTGACTAAATCACGCTAGTCAATTAGAATACAGATGAATTTTTGACCTAGGCTTTTCACCGCAGCAAAATAAGTCCGAGTCGGTTTTATCATTAGAGGGAATCCCGACTCATTTTGCAATGGTCCAAAGCTAGAAAAGTTTCACCTGTTATCTGCTTATTTTCGCCCTGACACGGAATAGCTGCTTACCAGGCGCGGTTACCATGCCCTATCAGCACTGTCCAATTAGCAATGATGATTCGGGGAAGGGTAGAGGCCATCAGGTAGGGTGCACTCTTTCTTCACATACGGCGCCCCCTACTATGAAGAAAGATGAATTCGAGACCAACATTGACACTTGTTTAAAGCTGAAGCTTGTTGCTGCGCTCTCTATTCCAACGCACATCGCAGCTGCGCCAATTATTAAGGAAAATCCAGGTTCTGTAGGACACTCAGTTTATGGAAATGTACCACATATTGTAGAAGCCGCCCAGGAGCATGCGTGATGCACCGTCCAGAACGAGACCGTAGTCGTTCTCCCTCGCTGGAAAGAGAACAGCCACAAATCTAAGAAGACTAGGAAGCAGAGGATTTCGAACCGTGCGGATTCAAACACAGTGGCTAGGTACAGGAAATATCATGGTATTGATTAAAAGTACAGGTCTTTCTGTTATCGGGCCGTATTTGGACATACCAACAAGCTAAAAGTTGATTATGACCTTCAAAGCATTATTCTTCGCTGCCGCCCCGAACGTGTCGTAGGCTTTAGCCATCTCCGAGAACTTGTACGTGTGCGTTACCAATCCAGCGGTCTTGAGCGTTCCCGCGTCGACAAGCTTGATGAGCATAGGCGAAGTAGAAGCATCCACGAGACGTGTAGTGATAGCTATTTCGAAACCATCAGATCTCATGATTCTTGGCACGGTCAGATGATAAGATGACTGACTGATATTTCTATCCCACAATTTCTCCAGGTGCAGATCTACCTTGCATCCATGAACGCCGAGGTTCGCTATGGTTCCTCCTGGGGCGACAATCTCCTGGCAGAGCTCAAACGTTGCAGGAACACCGACGGCTTCGATGACGGTGTCGACACCCTTGCCTCCTGTCAGACCCATGACGGCTCCAACAACATCTGTGCCTTGGGCGGAAACAATACCGTGGGTGGCACCCAAAGTCTTGGCCATCTCGATTCGGTTAGCATCGAGGTCGATCATGATAATTTGTGAAGGGGAGTATAATTTCGAGGTGATCATCGCACCAAGACCAACTGGGCCGCCACCAACAATGGCGACAGAGTTTCCTGGGGCCACCTAAATCACCTTTTCTGAGATTTATCCAGTGGTATGGGAATTGAAAGTCGTACCTTTCCGTTGAGAACGCCACATTCGAATCCTGTCGGCAAGACGTCACTAATCATCACCTGCTCCTCCGCAGTAGCGCTTTTGACCATGGGATGCAAGCTGCCGTCGGCGTAGGGGATACGGACGAACTCGGCTTGAGTGCCATCGATAGTATTCCCCAGAATCCATCCACCGTCGATGCAGTGAGAAGGCATACCCTTGCGGCAGTACTCGCAGCTAGAGCAAGAGGTGATGCAGGAAACGATGACATTGTCGCCTGGTTTGAATCTCGCAACGCCGTCTCCGACGGATTGCACGACGGCAACACCTTCGTGACCTAGGATCCGTCCGGTATCGCACGTAGCGACGTCGCCTTTAAGAATGTGCAAGTCCGTACCTAGTAGTTTATTAAAAGTTGTCTGGAAAAGTAACAGAGGGAAAACACTTACCGCAAATGGTCGTTTTGACCATCTTGACGATAGCATCGGTGGCCTTGAGAATCGCTGGTTGCGGACGATCCTGCAGCGTAGGCTGACCTTTGGCAGAGAACACGAGCGCTTTCATTGTATCTGACCTGTGAAAGGAATGAACAACGCGTTCTGAGCGATGACTTGGGTAAACTCACATTGTGATTCTGGTTGTAGATATGTTTCTCCTAGGAACCAATGGTGTGTAAAAGTGATGTCGGAACGCTCCATAACGACAAGACGTGGTAAAGGCTCTTCCGCTAACGGTAAAGTTGGGCCGGAGGGGATCCAAAATGATGGCAAAGACACGCGCGCGCATCATATGAGCAGTTTGCAAATATGCTCGAAAAATGCTTTGGGTTTTTATAACCCGCAGGCTCCCGCTCTCCTAATACATTAGCCTCATGCTCAACAGCCGCGAAACCAATCCAGATTGATCGAAAGCGGGGCCGGAGAGATTCATAATGAGGGTCTATAGCCTGGGGTTGGGGAAATATCATGCAAAGCGCCTCGGTTCGTCCATTTTTATTTAGTGGGACCTTCGGGCCGCTTTTCCACATGCCGCCCAAAGCCGAAATGATATGGGCCCAGTCAGACTTGTCTCAGTTATATACTAAACCCGTCAGTAAATTTTGGACTTCATGGTAAGGGAACACTAACCATGTGAATATTTGATGAAACGGAACAGATTGCACCATATGTGTCTATCACAGAGGACCACTGAGGCTACACCCATCTTGCCCTACGCCACTGGTGATTGAGCTCTGGTATCGATACTTGAATGTCTTACGATCTGCTCTTGCTCTACTTTGGAACGCGGGTAGGATACGTTCCCGGAACGGCAGGGAGAAGGTGAGAGAAGGAAGGAAAGGAGCGATGACGCGATGAGTTGTCTTTTTATACTCGTCAGTAAGCAGGCGGGGGATCCGCGCATGGTAATGTCAACGCGTCATGGAAGCAACGTCGGTGACGCCTACATCTCAGTCTGCACGTGGCGGCGCGACCAAAAGGTGTGTTTACAAATAACACAAAGGGCCACAACCGGTACTTTACTGACCGGATATAGAGACAGGCTTCGATATCCCTCGAATCCCTCGAATCCCTTGAATCCCTTGATGAGATATTTCTGTAATTCAAGTAATTTGTGATGTCGAGGTCACCGTGCGTGCGTCGGGCATATCGTACTCGTTCTCTCTGTTTTGATCATCTGCCATTGGATTCGAAACCTTTCTAGCCATTCAAAAGGAATGGGGCAGAACTAACGTTTTCCTCTGTGGCGCTCCTGTTCACGGACCCTCCGCCCTTCATAACGTTCTCGTCATTCTTATTTCTTCCGCTGCTTTCTATCGGTTGCGTTGGATATCGCGGTCATTTTCTTCCGTGTGTGTGTCAGACTCTCTTGGCCTTGTTACTTCTCGCATTATAATTGCCGAAATTTCAACGGTTTCTCTCTTCCTCGCCACTCCTTCCATGTCTCAAGTTTGGTAACCCACCCCCCCAGGCATGAACAATGCTAAGTAGTCGGCCCATCCTCTGGTTATTCACAATCGGCTACGAGATCCCCGAGTCGAGTCTACTCCTTGTGCCTTGCGGTTCTACATTTAGTTAATTGTTCAAGTCCTTTTTTCGATTTCATTTTGATGACTAATTGCTGCGTCTTATTCATGGAATTATGGGACCGAAAAGCTGCTGGTGACTGCCCTTCCGCGAGTCTCTAGGCCTATTCTTAGCAAACATCGCTCTCTTTTTTTCGACATGAGTCAAGACGGAGACTGGTGAGAAGTTGTTAGCTTCATCCTTAACGTCATACCGAGTCCATCAGAACAAGCTCTCTCTCTTTCGAGAGATGTACAACGAGGAGCGAAGGCTCTTCCCAAGCAGCCTGGCATTGTCGACCTTATACGCTTAAACGAAGCAAATGACCCGTCCCTCCCATCAAGAGGGCTCTGTCTAACTTTACTTTACGACGGAACATGCCAAGTACTACCGGAAAGTGGTCAATTCAATCCACATAGCATATTGATTAATTTACCCTGCGTACCTGCTTTGCCCTTGGCATGGACATGCGGCGATTCTATGCACGGGTGAAGCAAAAAAAAAAATCCTCTTTCCCATGGATGGTTAGCATGCCCAATCACCAGCGGGCGGCAATGATCCACAGCGTCCTTTCCGCGGGCTCGGAGCGCCCACCCATACTATTAGCGAGTCCTTCCCATCATAGCCGCAAAGAATCCAACATACTCGCACGCACGCAAGTTCTCCCGCGATATCCTCCTCCCAAAAACAAGGTCCTGCGCCCCTGCCCTGGAATGGGACCCGGTTCCCTAGTCAACCAAGCAGCTAAACTTTATTCGATCAGAAAATACATATCTACGTGCCTAACGAAGACGCAAAAAAAAAGATAAGGAGTACAATAGTAAAATTGCGTCATACAAAACAAGTGTGTTATACAGGTATATATTACATGTGCGGATATAGGGAGGGAGAAAGCATGGACGGACGATCTATAAATGGCGGAATGGGGACGGGGGGACAGGGTATGCAGGAGCGGGAATGACATGATCCGCACAGCCGAGGCGAGGGTGAGGTCGGCCCAATCTCTTCGGGTTTTTAGTTCTCAAAATAGGGTGGTCATCGCGTGGGTAACACAAAGAGTAAAGGAGAAACAGGTCGTAATGGGGCGTGGGTAGATGAACGGTATATGCCAGAAAGGTGTGGGATAGATAACGAATGAACGGACCATCGTTAGTGAGAGAGAGACAGACAGAAATGGTGATCATAGCAGCTTTGATTGCTTGAGGTGCTGTCGAATGACCATGTCGCGGACTATAGTACAATCAGTATCGTACCACATGCTGGCTGATGGCATATGACATACCACTTGCTATGATCCCTGCGGTAGTCGCAGTGTCCTGTTATCACGCCACATAAGCTCCCCTCCCCTTCCACCAGGAAAGCAAAATAAAGGCACTGACCGTAACAGACGTACAAAATGCATAAAACTTGCGAGGATTAGGCGAATACTCCCGATGTATGGCGTTGAATTTACTCCTCAGGTCTATGGAAGGAAAGGAAACGTCAACGGAGGCCATCGATCAACAGAGCACACGCTCACATTTGCTAACCGTATCCAAGTCATTCTCCCTATCGCCGTAGCTCCTTACATATTTTGACAGCCTAGACAGGGTTAATCAGCCATGGGACCTGAAACGCGTCATAGGCAATAACGTACCTGATACCCGACTTCAGCTTCGACTCGAGGATATCACATTTATTAAGGAAGAGCACGAGGTCGACGTTCGCGAGTAGCTTATTTTGGCATACTGCCTTCCAAAGGAGCACGGAGTCCTCCTACAGTCGGCAATCAGGTGAGGGCATGGAGGCGATAGTTCGGGAGCCCATACCAAACGGTTCACTGTTCTATCTTCTGACAGGACTTGATCGAAGCCTGATATTGGCGCGAGGAAAATGATTGCGTCGACTGTTTGAGAGATTGAATGAGCCGACGGACGCAAACAGCGGTGCAACTGTATACTTGCCATCATCAAAGAATGGTACCCAGGTTTCTTGGGAATGATGCCGATGAGTGGACAGCCTTTCAGAGCATTGATTTAGAGACTTACGACGCTATAGAGGGGTGGGAAGTGAGAAGCAAGGTCAAAAATACACTTGGGGATAAGCTTCACCTGACTTCTACTTCCACCGACGTCGACTATTCGCCACTCTGTCCCTGAATCCCTCCCAGCGGAAACCTCCATTTCGAATCTGTACTCGGATACACCTACTGTTTTCAGACGGGCTCTGAGAACATCGTCTTTATGAACACATGAGTATCGGGCAATGCCTTTGTGATAAAATCACGATTACCGTCTGAAGGCATGTATTTTAAGGATGTAATTCTCTCTAGGTCATTCAAGAAACTATAAGAGTCGTCAGCGTGTAGAAAATGTCATGTCGTAAGAGTACTCACAATCCTGGAAACTCTTCCAGCCGTATTCTCTTCTTTTTAAGAATCCGACGAACGCTCTTGTCTGACCAGAGATGAATCATATCCCTCCGACATGAATGAAGGACTTCTTGAGGTTCATCAGGGGTCTCCAAGCCAATATCGCCCGCGCTGACAGGTCTACTGCCGCCAGAAGATGATGAGGTATCGATACTTGTAGAACTGGGGTAGTGGACTCTTGCGCGCGCGAGTCCACCCTTCCACGCGGGCCCCGGACGGACGAAAATCTCTGGAGTACGCACTGGGGAGGAGTGCGAGGGGCCAGCAAGATGTGTAGCCTCGTCTTCGTTTGGTGGGACGAGCTTCGCTATCAGAAGCTGTTCGATGTGTTTCAAGGGTAGTAGACGCATTCGCAACTCGTCGAAACTCGAAGAAGGCGGCGGTAAAGCAGGTTGCGAGCGATAGAAATGGTTGTCAGGGTCTGAGTCCGGGTCTGACTCGTTACCGGAATCGAGGCGAGCGTCGATAGAGCTGTCTTGGCTGAAGGCTACGAAGTCGTTAGAACCACCCTTGGTATGGGAAGGTTTACGCTTGTTAGATGGGCTCCTGCGATGTCCGCGCGCAGGTGAGGTAGAGGGAGAAGCTGGACGAGCGACTGCATCGATGATAGTACGTATTGACCGGACGATATTGAGCTGAATGACGGCCCGCCAAAGGATACGCTCTTCACGGAACGCAGTAGGCGTGTAGAGCCGCTGGAACTCTGCAGAACAAAGTCAGAAAGAAAGAAAAGAGAAGAAAGTCGAGAAACACACGTCGAAGAGTGGTGGATTTGCCTAACCGAAATAAATCGAATGAACAGCCGAAGATCGCTGGGGTTGCGCAGCACTCACCGGATTCACTCTGGCCGAGTAACAGCAGCCTAACGATCCGTTTCTTCCGCCGCGCCTGACGTTCTGCCTTAATGCTGGCGTCGATGGCAAGGCTTACCCGCCGAGCCTCCTCCTCTCGGGCGATACGTAGCTCACGGTCCTCTGGCGATTCGTCAACAGGCGGCTTAAGGGCCTCATCGAAGGGGTCGTCGGTAGGTTTCATACTGTGGGCAGCAGCGACAGGCATCGCTGGTGGTGGTCAAGAAGTAAGAGCAAGAGCTGTGTGAACGGAGATTAGAAGGGATCCAAGGCTTGGGCCAAGGCCCCAGGCACAATTTGAATATTGGCTCGCATGGCGTCACGTGCACCGCCTACAATGACCGCGCGGCACGTACCGACAATTTGATTTTCGGCTTTTGCTTCCATCTTGCGTCCTGGGCCTGGCAGCCAGGCGCCCATCATATCCTACAGCGATGCCCCTGCCTTCTGTTAGCCAATATCCAGGGACTGCAACCATGGAATCTTCGTAGGAGCCCTATCGTATATTTACCTTGCCTGCCTCGAGGTCTTACTGCGTACCTGAGGCACCGGCCAGGCACCGAGGAACGATCACCCCGTTTACATTAATATCCAAGCGTACGCCTGGCGCTCTCCTCTGTCCTCGACGTCTGGGTCGGTCTCTATGCTAGTATAGATTGTCTCCTAGGCGCCCCCAGTAACCCTTATAGATTTTACTGTATTCTGACAAGACGGAGTAGCACCCATCATATGACGCACTTGAGCTCCACTTTCGATGGTATCACACCGCAGCTTTCCCTCCAACGGTCCCTGTAAATCACAGGCCATCTGATAAGAGCTCGGGGTCGGGTCCTACCAACTGCTACCGATCCGGGTACCCATCTTCAGACATACAGCAGTTGCCAGATAGCTGTACCACTGCTACCGACCCGAATATCTTTCCCGTCCCCCATCCATACGTTACCCTTTTCCCTTATTCAAGCACTATCCTCCTATCAGGTTATTCTCTCTAAAGACGACGGATCACGGGCCCACGCATAGGAAAACTTTCCACGTACATAACTCTATGACGAACGCGAAAGTCAGGAACAAGGTCCGATAGGTACCGGCACCATCGAACAGCACAGGTATCCATGCAGGACTTTGATATCCAGCACACCCTTATTTGTCCTAGTCATACATCACTGCCGGCATCGGTACTACCGCCGTGCATTCCATTCACACGCTCCCTCTAAATACTCTATTACTAGCCTTTGGGGGAATGGAAATCCCGCGATCAGCTACATCCAAGGTCCCCGCCTCATCTCCCCTCGTCCGCCTTATGACAATTGACTTCCTCTTCTTGCTATCCCGCCAGAGCTAAACTAGGGCGCGTAGTAACAGCCGGCGATGGACTCTTATACAATGATCGATCTGATCCACGAGGTCCCATCATCGTTCTCGTTCAGATAGTATTCGTGCCCTGGGGAATACACCTTCAAAGCACGCACACAGCGTCTCCGGTAGACGCTCTTCCCTAGTCGGTTAGCCAACCGCCCCATCCTGGAATCACGGAGTGCCACATGCAACACCCCTGGACTCGGAGGCTAGATTTTCATCTCCCATTCGAACACCTGCCCCAAAATACGCAGCTCTACTCCGGACCTTACAGCTAACGCAAAGCACCACGACAGCTAAAATGTACGTCTCATGCTACATATAGGTGTGTGTACTACTCTTCTCCCGAAAGTGATCATCAATTCCCTTTCCTTCCTCCTCCGGTACCGGCTCGTTCTCCATCCTGTCAGGAACACTTCACCCGTGACCCACCTTTCCCTATGAATCAATCAACCGCTTCCCAGGAAATCGGATATGCCTGATTAGCAGCTTTGTAGCTATGGAAGAACGTACATTTAGCTCAGGAATTTAGTGTATGAATAGGCGAGATTAAGGGCTGGGAAAACATTATTAGATAACCTTTCATTCGGACTATTCAAGAAGCTTATACCTCGGGAAAACGAACACGGGTTGAAGGCACAGTAAACAATGACGCATACAATGTCGGTCGATATACATAAAATGAAACCCGTTCGAGTATTACTCGGCGATAAACTGGCAAATCAGTGGAAATTTTTTCGGGCGCTGGAGGCTAGAAGAATTAAGTCTGCCTCATGTGGAACATGCAAGTGATGATGATATCCACCCCAATGATTATGACTTGAAAGTTGATGACGGCGATACCACTTTAGCTAACAGGAACAGAGTGCGATGAGAAGTTGGTGGACTACATGTGCACAACTTGGGACGAAACACCCCGCTTTACGAATCGAGTGCGCAACAGAAGATACTGATCAGCACTCATATAGAAGCCAGAACAAAAGGAATGTGTAGACGTAATGGCTGTACGATCAATGGAAGAAATCTGACCTCGCCGTTCTCTATCCCTCCACACGAGCGTCGAGGACTAGTCGAGAAATTCTGATTCAAACTTCGCGAAATGTGGCTCCTTTCTAGAAATAAGACGTAACGGGCCTTAAGGGAGGAACATATAGCGCTTGAACCCAGCAGAGATCAAACAAAGCAGGTAACAAGAACGCGGTATAATGCAACCAGCGAACCTGATCAACTCAATGAAAAAAATACAGAAAGGAACGCTATCCGGCCCGGTAACCCCATACCTAGAAGTATGAATAACGCGTCGATGAAAAGGGCCTTCGATTACTCCATATGTCGCAGGATCCCGCAAACAATGTTGTATTCCTGAATCGGATAGACGGTCTTAGCAGGAGCTATCACCGTTCGACTGTTATCTAGGCCACCGCCCCGCACGGCAATCCAATCCCATCTTAAGCGGAGCCTCCAGAGTCGTCCGCGTCGAGAAACATCGCGCTTGGAGATAGAGAGTACCATCCACTGCCTCCGCCGCTGACTATTAAGGGCTCCAGATACTATGCTGTAACAGAGGCGGTCTCAGCTTTCTCGGGCATAGGGGGACTCGCTATCTCGCGCGCTAACCATTTTATCGGCCTTGGAGTGGAGCAGCGCTTGGCCACTTCCCCTCCATGAAACAAAGAATCGTACGACTACATCGACCTAGAGCTAGTAGGGAACTTATGTTAATGAAAATTCTGTTCTATGGAAGACCACGACATACTTATCAATTAACTAGGCACGGAGAGTTTTGCTCGACGTGAGAAGGTGCGCAGCATCGCCAGAATATTACCACACTAGAATGGCGTCAGGTCCAAGTATCTATGTCATCATTTGTTGAGAAAACGAAATGCTGCCCCATCGTTTGAGAATTTTCATCAGAATGGAGCTGGAGAGAAAGTGGCCGGATGAGGTAAGACCTAGTAAAGAGATATGAGTCATTTGTTTTTTTCGTACATTTTGAGGTACGACCAACCGCGTTCTGGCCAGTGGTTAGGTGAGTATGAAGTGAGTATGGGGGTAAAAAATTATCACGTACATTTCGCTTAGTAGACAACAGCACCGCCAATAGAGCGAGAACAAAAGCTACAGACGTCGAAGAAGTTCGATTAGCTCCTACTTGTGTGATTCGTCGGTTTTTAGGAGCTTGAATGACTCTTCAGATTCGATGCCATGCTAATGGTGTTCTATAGCCACCCTCTCAAGTCTACATCCTCTTAGAATACACGCTTGGTATGATTTCGCCATTCCTCGGCTGGATATATAAAAGCTGGCGATCTTACGGGCCCGGGCCACAGCTATGCGATTCAAGTTCAGTCATTATAATGGTAGGGCCAGGACTTAGGAGGAAAAGAGCCGGTTGAATGACTCGGAGTACAACCATTTTGTTTGGTATATGGTTTTCTGCAGAGGGAAAAAGCATCAGTTTGGAATTATCTGCTATGAAAAAGGATAATTAGAAACCTTTCACGATGGTCGACCAGACTCAGAGGCAACAAGTATGCTTCGGCAGATGCCGTGTCGGCCCGACCTGGGCCGAATCAAGATTGTTCAACAAGCTCATACTCCACTGCTGCAGTGCATCGGTGTTTTAAGGGGGTCAAATCCTTTAACGGATTTGGTTCCGGATTTAGTGAGTACAGTTGACTCCTTAATCCATACCTTTTGGTCACAGTTCCAACCTATGGGTTATCAGAAGTTATGGATTTTCAGAAACTGTCAAAAAAATAGGTCTCAAAAAATCAGTAAAATTCATTAAAAATATCTAAAAATACAATTATGTACTTTTGTGCATTAGATATAAATATAAACTATTTACAAGGGAAGTAATAAGTAAGACAAATAGAAACCATAGACTGACTCATCCAAACACATTTGATGATCAAATTTGCTAAGAAGAGTTTTTAGTTTGCATGCAAGTGGATCATCAACAACATTGACATATTGACTGATAACAGATACCACCTGAAGGACCTCACAGTGAGTGGGAGAATCCTTGACAGATACATTATCATCAATGTCATCATTTTTATCATTGATAAGGGCTTCTTCTTGAGCTTTTCTTGCTTTCAGTATGGCCTGGCAAATTGATTTATCAGTAGTCTCATCCATTAGCCTTAACTCCTCTGTTGGGTTAAAAGGCATTTCAATGTCCATCCTATTGCTTCTCTGTATTATTTGTTATAATTTTAGCCTCTAATCATGATCTGCTGATATTTGGTAAGCCAATGTTATGACTTTTTGCTTATCTTATCTCATTTTGATCTTATCTCATCTTATCTTACCTTAGACTGATTACTTCATGATATCTAATCACAGACCAGTAACCACAACTATATCAGATGACTTGTACCATTATGCTATAGCTTGTGACAAATGCTTTGACAACAGACAATACCTATTGTTTCATGCATGCATTGCATGCTCTTTAGTTCCAGCACACAGACCATCATAATAAGTAGGCTTATATTTATCTTATTTAAAAAACATATATAAGTAGCATAGCTCTCACTGTAGTAGACTTAGCTTTGAGCTAAAGTTTATTCATATCACTTCACCTCTTGAGTCTAACTTGCGATGGCCTTGATCATACAATTTGAGCACACAAGAGAATTCCAGCATGACTGTACAACTCTGATACAGCACTAGTCTATTATATGTTTGGATTATATGTCAAGCAGGTCTAACAATTAGCTTGAAGCTGCAATCTTCCCTTTCCTTATGCTGGCCAGACCAGCAAAAGAAACCAAATGCAATCCATCCCCAACATCACCACCAACTTTTTCAAGCTCCTGAGTGCCATTATTGGCACTTTGCTCAGACTTTTCATTCTCTTCTGTATTTGCAAAGAAAACCAGTTCATTACCAGCTGGATTATCTGATACTATTCTTATCTTACCAATCTCCACTGAATCTGCCAAAATGTCTCTCCTGCTCTCCCCTTCTATGACCTCCCAGCTGATCTCTTCCACA